CTGTAATCCTAGCTACTCAGAAGGCAAAGATCAGGAAGATCGTGGTTCAAAGCCAGCTGAGGAAAACAGTTCCCAAGACCCTATCTCCAAAAAAAAACCATTAAAAAAAGGGTTGATGCAATGGCTCATGATGTAAACCCTGAGGTAAGCCCCAGTACTGAAAAACAAAGCAAAAAGAGAGAGTAGTTGTGATTACAAGTGTGTGCTACCACCATGCTGGGCCAGAACTGCTCTTTATTTGTTTATTTTTAGCAGCAAGGTAAACTGGGAAAGCCAGCATTGAGCTTTAGCAAGCCCCTATGTTACACAGACAAGGGACAAGAAGATTAAATGCAGGAATGTAAGGAATCAGCCTCTGTGATGGCCATGTGTACTTTAAAAAGGAGACTCCTATTCTTAATAAGATCAAGCTTTATTTAAAAAAAAAAAAAAAAACTCAGACCAGATATGGTGCTACATGCCTGTAATACTAGGTACTTGGAAGGTAGAGAGAGCAAGATCCCAGTTCAAGGCCAACCCAGACAAATTTGGGTAGGGACCCTATCTAAAAAAACAAACTAAGGTTGGAGGTGTGGCTCAAGTGGTAGAGGCCCTGAGTTCAAGTCCCAGTACTGCCAAAAGGACTAGGGGTGCCTGCACAGCAAGCAATGCCCAGTACTACACGCACGCACACACACACCCTCTCTTACAAAGCAGTTAGTATTTCAATTTTTGTCAATTCATTCCTAGAGAACTGGTCTTATTAATTCATTTATTTATTCACTGGTGGTACTGGAGTTTGAATTCAGTGCCTCACGCTTGCTAAGCAGGCACTCTACCACTTGAACCACTCTGCTAGCCAAGAGAACTGATCATTTTTTAATGTCCCATGTAAGACTTAGAGATAGATGTAAGAGCAAAATGTTTAAGACTGCCTCTGAGCCACATCGAGTAATAGAAAGAGTATTAAATCATCAGGTATACTGGGACACCCAATGGTGAGTCACTTTGTCTGGGGGTATGTGTCATATCTCTTTAATTCTTAAATGATTACTATGTCATCTAATTAAGAACAATGATGGAATGGTGGAATGGCTCACATGGTAGAGTGCCTGCCTAGCAAGCCTAGCAAGCTGGAGGCCCTAAGTTCACCCCAGTACCATAAAAATTTAAAAAAAAAAAAAAGATGACTCTCACAAAAACTTGCTCTGTCTGCATTTTTTTGGAGACAAGGTCTTGCTAAGTTGCCCAGGATAGCCTTGAACTTGGGATCTTCCTGCCTTAGCCTTCTGAGAAGCTTGGATTAATGCATGCACCTTCATGCCTGGGATGGAATTCTTTTTTAAATGAAAAAGTGACTTTTGATTTTCAGTGGATGCTAAAGCAACTTAAAATAAACATGGCAAGCCAGGCACCAGTGACTCATGTCTGTAATCCTAGCTTCTTGGGAGGCTGAGATCTGGAGGATCATGATTTGAGGTCAGCCAGGGCAAATAGTTTGAGAGACCCCCCATCTCCAAAATAACCAGAGCAAAAAGGACTGGAGGCATAGTTCAACCAGTAGACCATCTGCTTTGCAAGTGTGAAGCCCTGAATTAAAACCCAGTCCCACCAATAAATAAATGAATAAGACAAGTTGCAAGCATACACCTACCAGTAACTGTTCAGAGTGATGATGACCTTGCTCAATTTTTACCAACCAAAAGGGAACCAATGCTCCTTTTTCCTCTAAAAGCTCTTGACAAGGACAGGGTCACTTTTAAACCAGCTAAAGCAGGTCTTCAACATATTGGATAAAATGAGTAAACTCAACAATGAGAACTACATCTAATTTTCAGGAGTATTCACAAATCCTTATTCTATTTACTAAACTTGTTAGTTTATAACTTCAGGACACTAATACCTATAGGACTGGCTTTAAGATTTCCTGACCAACAGGAACAAGACAAGGATGCCCACTCTCCCCACTCCTATTCAACACAGTCCTGGAATTCCTAGCCAAAGCAGTAAGGTAAGAAGAAATAAAGGGAATACAAATAGGTAAAGAAATAGTCAAACTACCCCTATTCGCAAATGACATGATCTTATACCTTAAACACCCAAAACTTGTGGACACCATAAACAGCTTCAGCAATGTAGCAGGATACAAAATCTACTTAGAAAAATCAGTAGCCTTTCTACACACCAACAATGAACAAATTAAGAAAGAATATAGGAAAACAATTCCATTTACAATAGCCTCAAAAAAAATCAAATACCTAGGAGTAAACTTAACAAAGGATGTGAATGACCTCTATAAGGAGAACTGCAAACTACTGAAGAAAGAGACTGAAGAAGACTACAGAAGGTGGAGAGATCTCCCATGCTCATGGATTGGCAGAATCAACATAGTAAAAATGGCTTTACTATCAAAGGCAATCTACATGTTCAACACAATTTCCATCAAAATCCCAATGACATTCATCACAGAGATTGAAAAATCTACCCTAAAGTTCATTTGAAAACATAAAAGACCACTATACTACAGAGCCATAGCAATAAAAATAGCATGGTACTGGCACAAAAACAGATACGAAAACCAGTAGAACCTGGATATGAATCCCTGCAGGTACGCCCACCTTATTTTTGACAAAGGTGCCAAAAACATACAATGGAGAAAAGACAACCTCTTCAACAAATGTTGTTAGGAAAAGTGATTATCTGCCTGCAGAAAACTGAAACTAGATCCATGCCTGTCACCCTGTACTAGTTATAAACTCAAAGTGGATTAAGGCCCTTAATATAAGAACTTAAACCAGGTTAGTACAGGAAAGAGCAGGGATACTCTGGAAGTAATAGGTATAGGCAAGGACTTCCTCAGTAGAACTCCAGCAGCCCAGCAACTAAGAGAAAGGATGGACAAATGGGACTACGTGAAATTTAAAAACTTCTGCACAACAAAAGAAATGGTCTCTAAATTAAAAAGACCACATACAGAATGGGAGAAAAATCTTTGCTAGCTATGCATCAGACAAGGGACTGATAGAAAATACAGGGAGTTCGAAAACTAAACTCCCCAAAAATCAATAAACCAATAAAGTGGGCAACTAAACTAAACAGAATTTTTTTCAAAGGAAGATGTCCAAATGGCCAAAAGACACATGAAAAAATGCTCAGCATCCCTGGCCATAAAGGAAATGCAAATCAAAACCACACTAAGATTCCACCTCACTCTTGTTAGAGTAGCTATCACCACCAACAACAAATGTTGGCAAGGATGTGGGGAAAAAGGAAACCTCATACACTGCTGATAGGAATGCAAGCTGGTGCAACCACTCTGGAAAACAATATGGAGGCTTCTTTAAAACTAAACATAGATCTGCCATATGATCCAGCAATCCCACTCCTACGGATATACTCAAAGGAATGCGACTCAGGTTATTACAAAGGCACCTGCACACCCATGTTTATTGAAGCACTATTTACAATAGCCAAGCTATGGAAACAGCCAAGATGCCCCACAAATGACAAATGGATCACAAAAATATGGTATTTATACACAATGGAATTTTACTCAGCCACAAAGAATGAAATTTTGTCATTCACAGGTAAATGGATGGAACTGGAGAACATCATCTTAAGTGAAGTTAGTCAGGCTCAGAAGGCCAAAAATCACATGTTCTCCCTCATGTGTGGATTATAGACCTAAAACAAATGCAGTAATATTATTGGACATGGGTCACACACTAAGGGGAGACCACGAACGGGAGGAATAGGGAAAGGAAAGGAAATCTAAAACTTGAATGTGGTTGATATGCTTGCTGTATAGGAATGAATAAAGTAATCTTAAACTGGCAGAGGCCACTATGGGAAGTGGACTAGGAAGCAGTGAAGCGGTCTGGTAGAGATGAACCAATATGGATTGTAATACACAAGTGCATGGAAGTAACACTAGAATTCTCTCTATATAGCTATCTTTATCTCATACTAGTAAATACACTATGTTTTCTCTTCAACAAAATCGGAGAACAAGAGGGTGGAACAGGTTCTGCCTGGAAGCAGGAGGTACCCCAAATAATGTATACACATGTAAGTAAATATAAAAACAATAAAATTAAATTAAAATTTAAAAAAAAAGATTTCCTGACAAAGATACATACTATTGACATTTGGAGCCAGGTAATTCCCGGGAGCCCATCAGCACCCCACTCCCCAGTAACAACAACCAAAAAACGACTCCATACGTTGCCAAACGCCCCTGGGGGAGGAGGGGAGAGCAAAATCATCACCTCCCATTTTGAGAATCACTGCTCTAGAGAGACAGCAATAGGTAAAGGACAAAGAAAGAATCCAAGCACTTTAGAACAAGAAGGAATCTTACGGAGCCTGATCAGGCACCAGAGACTCTCAAACTTTACTATGTATCAGCCACCCTGGGAGTTCATTAAATGCCGATTCCTAGGCCTTGCCCCAGACCCATCAATACAGTCAAGTATGGAGTCTGCCAGCATCACTACTAACATCCTTGGTCCTCGGATACAGACATGTGGGCCCCAGAACGAGAATGCCTTAACCAAGGTCACACTGGCAAACAACCCAGACTCCAAAACCAACCCAGCCCTTTCTCACAATAAGGGTGGGTGGAGCAAGGAGGGTGTGTTCTTACCTCTTTCAAGCAGTAGAGCTTAATAAAGATTAAGGAGCTAGCGGCCTGAGATAAAATCCCTACTTGGTATTAATTAGTTGGGCGGCCTCCTGCAGCACGTAACCTCTGAGAGCCTCAGTTTCCTTCCCGGTGAAGCGGAATAACAGTACCTACGTCCTAGAGTTGTTGGAAATGTTCAAAGGAATGATGTACAAAAAAAACCCTCGGCACGCGGGCCTGGCACACAGTAAGCATTCGATCATGTCCTATTATTATTATTATTATGACTATCTCAGGACCGCAAAGTCGAAGGCATCTGCTGGGCCCCGGGGGCCCGGGCAGGAAATGGGTTCAGGGAGGCCAAACGACCCCCGACTCCCTCCACCCCACACCTTACCTGGCCCCGTAGCTCCTTCTCTAGCTGCCGGTAGTCGTTGTTCCAGACAAGGAGGTGCAGGGGAAACTGGCTGCTGGCGTCGCGGGCCGAGGACATGGCGAGGAGGCCGCGGCCTGGCCCTGGCGGCCCGCCTGCCAGAAGTCTCGGCCCGGAGGGGTCTCCGGCGCCCGCCCGCCCGTCCGGCGGCCGGCGAGCGAGAGAACTAAGCGAGCGGGCGAGAGAGGAGCGAGGGGCGCAGTACGCGGCCGGCAGCCAGGCAAGCCGGGTGTGGAGAGTGCAGGAGGCCTGGGGTCGCGGGCCGGGTCGGGGACCAAGAGGACCGCGCCCACCCCGCGCCCCGCCGCCCTCGCGCTGGCGCTGACAGCTCCGGAACCGACTTCTGCGGCCCGAATTGCCCCAAACCGGGAAGTGCGGGGAGCGGACCACTGCACTCCGCGGTGGGAGGGGACGAGGTCCCGCAAGGGGTCCGAAGTCCGCCCAGACCCACCCAGCTCCAACTCCACATTGGGAAACGTAGTGAAAGCTAAAAAAAAAAAAAACAAAACAGAAACCGAAAAAAGAGAGAGAGAGAGAGAGAGCTGCAGTCCTGTGCTTTGGCCCAAGATCTCCACGCGAAAAATTCGGTCTACCCGTCACCAGTCTATCCTCCTGCTCCAGCGACCTCAAATGGTTCGGTCCACAACTGGGCCTCTTCCATTGGCTCTACAGTCAGGGGGTGACAACAGGGGCCTGGACCAAACCATTCCGACTACAGACGCCCTTGCAGCCTTTTTGGACCAGTGCAAATCCTTCCAAGACTGAGCAGAAGCCATTTTGGAAGTGGGCAACACCAAATAATTTTCGAGCACTGACTTTAAAACCTGAAGAAGTGGCTTCAGCTATCTGTATTATACGAGGTTAGTTCTATCTCAGGATTTCTCAACGTTGGAACATTTTGAACTGGGTAATTATTTGTGTGGAGGTTATTCCGTGCTTCATAAGATCTTGAGCAGCATCCCTGGCCTCCATACTCAATGCCAGTAGCACTCCCCAAAACATGTTTCCAGACATGACCAAATATCCCCTGGGGGTGAAAAATCGCTCTCAGTTGAAAACCACTGTTCTATCTGAATTCCAAAGCTGTTATGATTCAAAGTTACCTTACTGGAAGTTTATTCCACTAGTGTCATTTTTACACAAGCCATTTGAATTTGGGATTATAACTGAAATGACTAATATGATACCTAGATTTGACTAGTCTGCAAAAATAAAATTCAACCTTTGTATCTATGCTTCCTTAACTTGGTGAAAGACCAAATGCTACTTCTGTCTGAGGCAGGACAGAGGAGGAGAAGAAAATTATATCTATCACTTTTAATAAATACTAAGAGGGATGGACTCAGCCAGAACCAGGAAGTAAAAACTGAAAGACCAGAGCACCTAACTCCCCTCCTACCGTCTTTTAGATTTTGCAAGAATAAAGAGACATAAAGAGGCTATCTGTATCTGCCTTCTCATTAAGAAACTGCAAATTCTTCCACTAAAGGGTGAAGGGGTAAGATGAAATACATGTTTGGCAAAAGAAAGTCCTAAAACTCCACCTAGGTTCCAGTGTTTTGGGTAGGCCTAGATCACATTTCCATATTTTAGAATAATAAACAGCACACATTTTAGCTACCCAGACCATTATCTATTGACTAGTGGTTGCTAGATCTCACTTTGTGACATGTATTTCCCCAGCTCAGAGAATATAAAACCCATAAAAGGACCACCATTTTTGAGCTTGTCACCCACCCCTGCACTTCTGCAGAAGGTACTTTTTCTCTCCCTTTTTAAAAATTTCTCCCTACTTTATCCTATTGCACTAAAATAAATCCTTGCTAAAACTTTCTCCCCTTTTTGTAAGACCATTTGAAATTCTTTTCCTTATGGATCTCAAGTCCCTCTGATTTTGCATGGAAACTGGAAAGCAGAGGGAACCCCCTCATCTCTCATCTGGTGACATGCCCAGCTGTCTACAAGCAGACCAAACAGCAGGCAAAGTTATTCAATGCATCCTGAAAACATTCCTTCTGCCTTCTCTGCTCTGTGCACATCCAGCTTTTCAGATGACTACAACAGCTGTTCAAGAATCCTGTTCTAATCCATTCTCCACGTGTGTGCATTGGACCCCAGAAGATTTGGAGTTGTTGACCCAAAGCAAGATGCAGGAGCATCAGGATGGCACCCAGAGGCTCTGACTGTGGAATGTGTGGTAATTACGTGTTTACTCCCATACTACATATTTATCATGCTGGAGAGATGGACTCATCACTGTTGCTTCTAAGACCACTTCTGTGACTGCTGTTCCTTCGGAAGTCTTATGAAACTTAATCTTTTTTCTCTTCAACATCCCATGTTTATTGAACAGCTCTCCTTTCTCATGAGTCTAATAATCCATAGTGGTAGTGGCCATAATCTGTTTTGCTTACCTAAAATTAAAATAGTGCCTGGCCCATAATAGGGATCCAATATTTGACAAATGGAGATCATAGTTGTGTTTATTTTTTGTTTGTTTTTTTTTGTTTTTGTTTGTTTTTAACACAACAGCTGTTTCATTGGAAAATAATGGTTTTTTTAATTTTTTTTATTCATATGTGCATGCAATGTTTGGATCATTTCTTCCCCCATCCCCCCACCCCCTCCCTTACACCCCCCCTTACCTCTCGATACCTGGCAGAAACTATTCTGCCCTTATCTCTAATTTTGTTGAAGAGAGAGTATAAGCAATAATAGGAAGGAACAAGGGTTTTTGCTAGTTGAGATAAGGATAACTATACAGGGAGTTGACTCGCATTGCTTTCCTGTACATGTGTGTTACCTTCTAAGTTAATTCTTCTTGAACTAACCTTTTCTCTAGTTCCTGGTCCCCTTCTCCTATTGGCCTCAGTTGCTTTAAAGTATCTGCTTAGTTTCTCTGCATTGAGGGCAACAAATGCTATCTATTTTTTGGGGTCTTACCTTATCCTCATACCATCCCTTGTTGCTTCTTGCTTTATCATGTGATCAAAGTCCAATCCCTTGTTTGTTTTGCCCTTGATCAATTTCCACATATGAGGGAGACATACAATTTTTCTCGTTGGGCCAGGCTAACCTCACTCAGAATGATGTTCTCCAGTTCCATCCATTTACCTGCGAATGATAACATTTCATTCTCTTCATGCTGGCGTAAAATTCCATTGTGTATAAATACCACATTTTCTTAATCCATTCATCAGTGGTGGGGCATCTTGGCTGTTTCCATAACTTGGCTATTGTGAATAGTGCTCCAATAAACATGGGTGTACAGGTGCCTCTGGAGTAACCTGTGTCACATTCTTTTGGGTATATCCCCAAGATATATATGCTGGATCATATGGTAGAGCAATGTTTAGATTTTTAAGTAGTCTCCAAATTTTTTTCCAGAGTGGTTGTACTAGTTTACATTCCCACCAGCAGTGTAAGAGGGTTCCTTTTTCCCCCGCATCCTTGCCAACACCTGTTGTTGGTGGTGTTGCTAATGATGGCTATTTCGAACGGTGAGTGGAATCTTAGTGTGGTTTTAATTTGCATTTCCTTTATTGCTAGAGATGGTGAGCATTTTTTCATGTGTTTTTTGTCCATTTGAATTTCTTCTTTTGAGAAAGTTCAGTTTAGTTCACTTGCCCATTTCTTTATTGGTTCATCATAGTTGTATTTACATGTAATGAATACAACATATCTTAATTAGTATTAGGGTCACATCTCTCCTTCACATTGATTAACCTAATTTCTTTGTGTTTCTCTCTTCCACTCTGTAAATTACTCTAGGTTAACTATTCTTATTCTTAAATTCCAAATATATGAAGAAAAGCAGTAATTAGAAAATAATAGTGATATCAAGAATAATAGCCAAGTGTCAGTGGCTCACACCTGTAACACTAGCTCCTCAGGAGGCAAAGATCAGGAGAATTGAGGTTCTAAGCCAGCCTGGGAAAATAGTTCACAAGACCCTATTTCAAAAAAAAAAAAAAAAAAAAAAAAACCCTTCACAAAAATAGGGCTGGTGGAGTCACTTAAAGTGATGGCCCTGAGTTCAAGCCTCAGTATATAGCAAAAAAAAAAAAAAAAGGAAAAGAAAAAAGAATAATAGTAGCTCTGATTAATTGAAGGCTTACCATGAAACATGCATGTTTCCATAACTTACTCCCCTTCTCCTTAGCCAGGGGAAAAATATTTAGTTTTGCTGGTTGCATATTCTTCTCCCTCTTTTTCTTCATTTGTCTCCTCCTTTTTCTTATTTTTTAAAAAAGTAAAACTCATTCTTGGGTTGCAGTTCATACAAAAATCATGGACTAGAAGTAGACAATACATTATCTCCATTTTGAAGATACACTGCATCCTAAAGAAGGGATCATCTAACATATTCCTATTTTGCTTATTTTATTGTAGATCTATCCTTGGTAGAACGTACACTACATAAAGACAAGAAATATTGTCTTCTTTGCTTACTGCTGTTTCTCCAGTGCCTGGAACAGTGTGTGGAACACATAAGTGCTTAATGTGTATTGTTAAATACAAAAATGAATAAATTAATTTGACCACTTATTACTTAGGGGAGGTTATGGGTACAGAATTCTGGTCACAAGAGTTTTCTGCTTCCTCTGTTATTAATCAGAGTTAAGACAAGGCAAATCTGTTCTAGAAAGGGAGACCAAAATTCAAAACGATTAAGAGACTTTGGACTTGGAGTGTGGTTCAACAAACAAAAGGCCCTGAGTTCAAACTATAGTGCCCTCTAAAGAAGATTGAGAGTTTAGAGAGACTATGGGGGTGGCACAAGTCTGCCCTTACTCAAGATGGAGAAAAGAAAGCGTGCCCTTTCCGGTCACGTGATCTGTCAATCGCAGACGGGCACCGCCCCGCGCGTGCGTGCTGCGCCTCAACTACGAGGCGCTGAGGGGAGAGGCTCTGCCGCCAGCGCTGCCGCTGGGACCCGTTAGAGCGGAAGCGCTGCCGCCACCGCCTTCAGTGTCCCGGGGTCGCTGGGTCCCGGCAGGTGGAGGCTAGAGCCATGTCGAAGCGGCTGCGGAGCAGCGACGTGTGTGCTGACTGCAGCGGGCCGGGTGAGTCGCACCAGCTGGGCCCGCTCCCCTTTGCTCTCCTGGCTCGGACCCCTGCCCCCGGGCAGCCCCTTCGGGGCGGGTGGGCGGATTCCTGCGGCCGAGCCCGCATCCTGCGTCCGGGGTCCTAGTGAGGGGAGACAGGGGCGGCCTTGGAGCCGAGACCCATCCCAGGCCTATCAGCCGGGCGGGCAGGGGGCCGCCGCCCTCCTGTCCCTCCCTTCTCTCTCGCCCCCTTCATCTCAGACGGGCAGGGGTGGCGGCGGGGTCGGGGCCGCTCCCCGACAGGAAAGGGTTTGGGCAATCCACAGGAAGGCCAATAACAGAAGTAAAATGCGGGCGTCCTCCCGGCTGCGGCCCTCAGAGGCTGCAGGTGTCACCACTCCCGGGACCCACGCCCCGCCAGGCGGCCCTGGCCCGGGTGGGCGACTCTCACGGCTTCCCTTCCGGAGACTCGCCAAAGGGTCCTAGCGAATGACTTCCTTGCTCGGGACATCCTGGCAGTCGCTCCACGGGGAGAATCTCCAGGTCGGGGTCTTGCAAACTCTAATCAGCACTTATGAGCCAATGCATGGCTTAAGTTTGGGATTCCGAAGGGCCCAGGTTTACCCTATGTTATGCCTCTGAATGACCTTGGACTGGTGACTTCACTTGGCCAAGACTTGATTTCCTCATTTTTCCGATGGGGATAAACCGATATTGCTCAGTGGTTAGGAAGATTCAATGGATATTCTTGGAATTTCCTAACTTTTCTTCTTCTTTTTTTTTTTTTTATTATTTCAGTTCACAATACTTGCAGTTCCTAAAAGCTAGAATTGAATTTCTAAACTGCATTAATTAAACTTACCAAACACACACAAAGTCACTGGTAATATATCAAAAGGCCACAACCACTTTTTCTACGCATAATATTCATATTTAAAGATCAGATCTGTTTTGCCATTGAAACTGAATTGACCGACCGCTGCACAGATTATTGTATGCTGTTTTGGTTCTTGAACCTATTAGCTTTGAGTTTGAAGTAATTTAAATATCAAACAGCTTTCTTGGCACACCAATGTACAATAAACAATTAAATCATTGAACACCAGTGGCTTTGTAGTTGTTCTGAGCTTCATCGTGTCATTTAGAAGCAAAGACCAATTTTAAATAGTACTGTGATAATCAACCTTTATGTGATTATTTCATGGCCTGGGTACTATTGCAGGTGGTATTAAGTTTCCTTCAAAGACAGGGAGGAGGGTGGAGGAGTTATAAAAGAGGTGTGTTATAAACCAAGTTTATGTAAACTCTATCGTTTTCTCTAAAAAATGTTCTTTGTTCCACTTCCTTCTTTTCTTGCCTGTTTCAGTTGAACTTTCTGTGATGCATTTGATTCACATGTGTCTAGCATCAGACTTCCTCTTGGGATGCATATTCTGTTTTAAACAGATTATATGGGACAAAGGCAAATTGCTTCTCTATTGGCACCCTAAATACTGTCTTTCACTTTGGCAGCATTTTGTGCTTTTCAGAACATTTTCTCTTCCTTTGTATCATTTTAGTTGTCTTGAATGCCTAATCTACTGAGACTTGAGTCACTTCCTTCCTGTTTTGAGTATAATGAGGCTACCTTGAAATGTTCTGTGAACACGAGCAGTAGAAATTTTTGCTGTCTTTTCTGCAAAGCTGTAGTGAAAGAACTACCTTTGAAATACCTTTGAGATGCTAGGGCCATCTCCTCCAGAAAATACACATATATTTACTTTTCATATGGAATTTGCATAAGATTTGGGGGACAGACATTTTTGAAGTGCATTTGTGGTGTCCATGGAGCCTACATTGAGAAGCTCAGGTGGGTGGTAAGGGAGGGGGTGGGGGCAGGGGGGAGAAATGACCCAAGCATTGTATGCACATATGAAAAATAAATAAATAAATAAATAAATAAATAAATAAATAAAAGAGAGAAGCTCAGCATAAAACATCCAGATAAACTGTGAGGGTTTCACCCAACCTCATTCATACAAAATCAATTTTGATTTTTCTATGTTGTTAATATTCTTTCTGTGGGATTCAGATCCCGGATGTTTAATGATTAATTGAAAACCTCACGTAATGTGTGTTGAAATCCTTGCTGTCTTGTTCCTATTTAATTCCTTCAAGAATACTATGAACTTTCAGAATGATATGTTCAAACAGTACTATGATTCCAGTCTTTTTTTCCCCTCATTACTAGTAGTGCCATACTGAAGAAAGCAATGTGTCTTTGTAAGGATCCTTCATCTTCATGTTTCCCATATTTGTACCTTAAAATGACATTGTAGTACCTACAGAGTAATATATCACTAAATTATTTTGTTTCTGTTTTATTTTATGGCAAACATTTAACTGTGATCATGTCTTCTTGTTTATTATAAGGTCTAGTTGGCTTTCTTTTATATTGTTTTGGGGCTTTTGTGGGGGAGAGTGACATTGGGGGAGGAGAAACTCAAGGTACTCTACCACTTAAGCCACTCTGCCAGCCTCTTTTGTGTTGGTTATTTTGGAGCTAGGGTCTCACTTTATGCATGGACTGGCCTGGACCAGGGTACTCCCCTCATAACTAGGATGACAGGTGCACACCACCATGCCTAGCCATTGTTTAGATGGGATCTCGAAAACTTCTTGCCCAAGCTGACCTCAAACCCTGATCCTTCCGATTTCTGTCTCTTGAATAGCTAGGATTATAGGCTTGAGCCACCTACTCTCAGCTTATTTTGTTTTTTTTGAAATAGGGTCTCACTAGGTATCCCAGGCTGGCCTTCAAACTGGAGAGTGGCCTCCAGAGTTCTGTGCACCACCATTCCTGGCTCAATTTTTTTTTCTTTTTTACAAGTGGAACCCAGCTCTTCACAAATGGTGGGCAAATGCTCTAATACTGAGCCATATCCACAGTTCTGTTTCATTTTTTATTTTTCAAGTTTTATATTATTTTTTGGTGGTACTGGAGTTTGCACTCAGGGCCTCAAGCTTGCTGGGTAGGTACACTACCTACCACTTTAGCCATGTTTCCACCCTTTTTTGCTTTAGTTTCACGCCCCCCCTCCAGTACTGGGGTTTGAACTCAGGGCATCATGCTTGCTAAGCATGTGCTCTTACTGCTTAAGCCACTCCCAACCCTGTTTTGTGATGGTTTTTTTTTTGAGATAGAGTCTGACAAACTATTTGCCTGGGGCTGGCTTTGAACTGCGATCCTCCTGATCTCTGCCTCATGAGTAGCTAGGATTACAGACATGAACCATCATCATCCACCACTTAAGTTATTATTATTATTATTATTTTTTAGTACAATCTTTCATTTTTGCTTCTGCCAGCCTGGACCTCTGTCCTCCTATTTAAACCTCCTGCCTAGCTGAAATGATGGGTGCATATTGGTTGAGATGGAGTCTCACCAACCTTTTCCCCAGGCTGGCCTTGAACCATGATGCTTTCGATCTCTGCCTCCAAAGTAGCTGAGTGTGAGGCACTGTGCCCAGTCTCTCTTTTTGTTTTTGTTTTTGTTTTGTTTTGTTTTTTTTGAGCAGTACTGGGGTTGAATTCAGAGCTTTCACCTATTTGTCCAGGCTGGCTTCAAACCATGATCCTCCTGATTTCTGCCTCCTCAATAGCTAGGATTACAGGTGTGAGCCAACAGCGCCCGGCTCCAGTCTCTTTAAAAAAATTAATCTAGTTTATCTTAAATAAATTGTACTCCAATTATCTCAAGTCCAGTTACCTGAAAACTACACTGAGATTTCCATTACAGTAATATGGTGTTCACATGAAATGTTGATGTTTTAAGTATTTCCAACCCAAAACTTTTTTCAGTGATCATGAATTTCATGGACTTTTGAAAATATCAGCATACTTAGAAAGTCCTTTAGAAAAGATATAAAAAATAGCATTACTGAGTACTTACTGTCTGAGAGGCACTTTACTTACTCTTTGTATCATCACTCCCCTGTGATGTGATGTGGTACAATTCCCATCTGACCTACGGGAGGACACTCAAAGAATGTTTAGTGTCCTCAGATTATTGTGCAAGAAGTGGCAGAGTTAGGGTTCAAACCATGTACTGCTTGTCTCCAGAATCAGCCCTCTTTACCACCACACTTTCTGGCTCCCAGGATTTGTCTTTGATTGAAATTCCATAACTTTTCATTATATGATTTAAAAGGGTTTGAATAAACTGTTAATGGTAAAGATGATGTGAACGCATTTTAGAAATTTTTGTGGACATTGGAAGAATTCTTCCAATGTAAATATAACCCTTAAGACCAGGCAACTTGAGTGGTACCTATCATCACCCCATTATGAATTTGATGAAATGTAGAAAGCCTGTTTTTAAAGATTTGGGGTTTCCACATACTCAGTTTATGTACCCAGATCCATCCTGCTTACCTAGTGTAAATTATTCCTTGCTTGAAAGCATGTCTAATGAAATTCTGTGGGATTTCAAAGGAAAAAAAGTATTGTGCACACACCAAAATACTACTCACTTTTATTTTACATCTTTACCTCAGTGAAGCAATTGCTTTTCTTTCAGATCAGACTCAGTAGTTTGCTTAAAACAACTAATGGCTATCATAGAATATAATTCCCTGTTCTTAGACTCATGGCAACTGAGCTATTTTAAAATTCTGTCATTCACAGCTTTCTGTCAATTTATAGACATGATGATTTCTTAAAAGTGGTTCGGGGCAGCAGTCATTTCACCATTTACTTCAAATACTACTATATGGATAATTCACTGTCAACATTGTGTTGTTTTACTGTTTGTGGAGGTAGATTCAGAATGATTCATCTGTAGCCTCTGAATTTCCTTCTCTCATGTTGAATGAAAGTACATGCATCTGAGGTGGTAAATTCACATTCCAGCTACAAACAGTAGCTCTAAAAGAAACCCAGAAAGAAGATAACTGCTTATTTAGAGCTGATAATTTCAGTTAACCTTGTACCTAATCAGCCAAGGTTGGTACTGTCATCTGACAGCTTGATATATTAAAGAGTATACTAAAACAACAAAAATGTCTTGTTTTTCAAAAAAAAAAAAGCCTTAGCCATCTTTTGCCATCCTGTAATATAGCAACTGCTGGTGTCCTTGCACTGAGATTTCATTCTCTTTCCAGATCCTTCCTGGGCATCAGTAAATAGGGGAACTTTTATATGTGATGAGTGTTGCAGTGTCCATCGGAGTCTAGGGCGTCATATCTCCCAAGTAAGACATCTTAAACATACACCATGGCCTCCAACACTGCTTCAGGTAAAGGATAAGAACAGATCCTCTCATAATTTGTCATTGATGAAAACTCTTTGTGTGAGCAACTAAAATTTCTACTAGTATGCTTTTTAGGTCTTACAAAAAATGTTTGTATCATAATTGAATAGAGGTGCTGTGCCCATCAATTCTATGTATAGCATTATCCTGCATGGAATTTGTCATTTAATATTTTTCTCTTCTAACATAATCTTGTCTCAAAACATCATTTATATATATTTACATATATAGAGAGTGACAGAAATTTAAATTTCTTAGTAATATTTCATTGCTGACTTTCTAGATTGTCACCACAAATTGTTTTTAAGTATTTCCCATATACCATGATGTTTCCAAATGCTACTGCCTAAGAAACTTTTCATTAATATAGTTATTCCTAAGTACCTGATAATACTTTCAAAACATTTTTTTTCCTACTTTGATCAAAGCAGGGACTGGGATTCCTAAGGAATTTCTGCTGATTTAAGTTTTCTTAAGTCCCTCATTACTAGTAACATACCAAATAAGTTAACAGGTTTGATTGTATGCCTAACACTCTTAAGTGAACTCTTTGTCTTATTTGGTGTCTGATGTCATATTACCTGTATTTCTGTTTGGGGTACACATTCTTCAAGTTCTCTTGGAACTCCAGATTAAGCATGTATTTTGCATTTTTTTGTCTTGAGTACACATTTTGCTGAGTCTGTGGCAGCTGGACACAATGTCCTTTATACAGGCCTGTGTGAACCAAGGGACCAAATTGGATCTCTGATGTGAAAATACCTCTGTGAATATAAAAAGCCGTTGGAACCATTTTAGGGGTTCTGCTTTGAAATGAAATTGAGAGATATTGTTTATTAATAATTTTTGCCTAGATGTTTCTTTTTTCTTTTTTTACTTTTTGGTAGTACTGGGATTTGAACTCAAGGCCTCATGCTTGCAGGCAGGTGCTCTACCACTTGAGCCACTCCTTCAGCCCTGTTTTTGCATTAGGCTTTTTCAAGACAGAGTCTCATGAACTATCTGCTGGGCTGGCTTCGAACCATGATCCTGCTAATCTTTGCCTCGCAAGTAGCTAGGATTATGGGTGTGAGCCCCCAGTGCCTGGCTTAGAAGTTTCTAGTAGCCCATTCTCATGGGAAGGGTGTGGGATATCTATCTGTTGACAAGGCCTGATAGCCAAACTACATTATAGAATCTGAACCTAGAGATGAGTCGTCTAAAATGCCAGGATTGACTCCAAATCAACAAATCCCAAAGAGTGGAACATAAACCACCACTGGGACTCAGAACAGGTGTATACAGTATATCCCCAGTGGTACTGGGGTTTGAACTCAGGGCCTCCCACATGATAGGCTGGTGCTGTAACCACTTTGATCCATGCCTCCAGACTTGAATATTTATTTTAACAACTACATTATTTTAATGTATGTAAGAAAACTGACTAGCACATCATACCACAATTGTTAATAAAAACTTTTTTAAGTTGGTAGATTTAAAGAACAATATTAAACAGTGTAGACAGTTGCATAAGTAAAATAGTATTTGTTCAGACTTGGTAAACACTGCCCTAAAGTGTCCTACTGTTCCTTCAGTGTGCACATATACACACACACACAGTACAATCGAACCCATTTAGGAATTTATCCATCCTATTAGTTAAAGCTGCATCCTATATACAGGTTCATCTTTCTCATTCTAAAATCAGAAAACAATGATATGAATAGTTAGTATTTATTGTAGGGCTTTGTTTACCCATTTCTGTTGCTGATTCCCTTTGAATGTTTGTGGAAAGAAGTTAAAATATAATTTCATACTGCTTGGTTTTAGATGGTTGAAACCTTATATAACAATGGTGCTAATTCTATATGGGAGCATTCTTTGCTGGACCCTGCCTCTATTATGAGTGGAAGACGTAAAGCTAATCCACAGGATAAAGTACAGTGAGTGAAATGTTTATAAATGTTTCTATTTCTTTACAACAAATGGGGTCTGCTGAAAAGAGTGCAGCTATTTTTGGTCAGCCTCCACAAGAGCAGCACAAAGGGGGTTCCTGCAGTTGTGTTTGGGCTCCTTGTTGCTAGCAATTCAGAACAAGGCAAGCAGGACCATCACTTTTGCTTGGTTATCTGACAGGAGTTAATGATCTCACCAGTTGGAGGCCAGGGCTTGGAAGCTGTAGATGGAATCAGACTTTAAACTTAGGTACTCAAACAACAGACAGTCAGACCAGAAATCTTGGTTTGGAGGTATTCTGCCTGATCCCTCACCTCTGAAATAGGACTAACTGCCGCTTTCTACTAAGGTTTCAGTCAATTAAGGAAATGACATAGAGGGGAAAGATGCTATAAAAAGCAGGTGTTCTGCAGCCCCAGCCATTATAATGACTAATGTACAATTCGGACTTTAAGCCTTACATACTGCTGGAACTTATTCCAGCTTTGTTCTTTTTATTCTCAAGTGGGGGACGTGGGTTACTTCCTCTTCTTCTTACAATTCAAAGAATGGGAAATGTCATATGTGAACTGTGAGTAAACGTTTTCTTTTTTGTTTTTAAACCAGCCCCAATAAAGCGGAATTCATCAGAGCCAAGTATCAGATGTTAGCATTTGTTCACCGCTTGCCCTGCCGGGATGACGATAGTGTAACTGCCAAAGATCTTAGTAAGGTGGGTCATACCTTTTACAGTCCCTACAAAAGCTGACTAGGACAGTGTATTGCTTAACTTGAAAAATATTTATAAGGAAGATAGAAAACCAAAAATTCATTTCTGTACATTAAATAATTAATAACAGCTTTTTCTGCAATCAGTTTCATCTTTAATCTTAACTCAAACAGCAGCCATTTCTCCTATTGGAGGTATAGGGCAAAGAGGAAAAAAAGTGTCTGAAACACTGTTAGTGTTTTTCCAATACAGTTTTTAAGTTTTTTGTTTAATTTGTTTTTTGTTTTTTGTTTAATTTGGAAATAGAAGCCATCTAAGAGTTTGTTTCTAAATGGGACTAGAGAGTTTGTAGGACAATTGTTTCTAAAAAGGACTAGAAAAAAATTACAAAGGAATAGAGCTAACTTCTTTAGATTTCCAGGTTGCATAGTGAGAACTTCAGAAAGCAGGGTGTGACTCAAAGCTGCAGTACACCAGACAGTTTATTATACTTGTAAAATGAGTAGATGATTCTCTTTATGTGGGGTCTTAACATGTTTTTGAGAGATGCCATGAGAAAGGTACATATTTATTTTTGAAGCAGCACTGTTGATAAATGCTCACTCACACAGAGCATGGACATTTGCAGTTCAGAATATTAAATTTTACATAGAAATGTATGTAGCCAGGCACCAGAGGCTCATGTCTGTAATCTTAATTACTCAGGAAGCAGAGATCAGGAGGATCGTTGTTCGAAGCTAGCCTGGGCAAGTAGTTTGTGAGACCCCCATCTCAAACAACCCCATCACAAAAAAAATGCTGGTAGAGTAGCTGAAGGTGTAGGCCCTGAGTTCAAACCCCAGTACCACAAAAAAAAGAAGAATTGTGTGTAATTGTTATTTCCATTAATTAATAAGACTTATGTGTCTTTCTTTTGTACCAAATTGTTAAAAATAAGACTTATTACAAATCTTGGACAATTTCAAGTAGACTTGAAGGTAGGCAGCTCAACTTCTGAATGTTTAAAAGGTTTTCTATAATAGTACCAAATCTGTATACCACAGGCCTATTTTCCACCCAAGAGACTGCATGAAAGTATATGGTAGCTGGGCCAGGGATAGTGTTACAGAGAGGGTATGGCATAAGACTGTCCTACTGTCATCTACCTCACTGAGTCAATAAAGGCTATGTGTTACTAATGTAACATACGCTAAAACAGGCCAGCATCTGCTCTGGTACATCATACCTGGTGCTTTTAACAAATATTCTTTTATTGTGTGTTTTTCAGCAACTCCATTCAAGCGTGAGAACAGGCAATCTTGAAACCTGTCTGAGACTGTTATCTTTAGGAGCCCAAGCCAACTTCTTTCATCCTGTAAGAAAACATTAATTGATTCAGATAGTAAATTGAAACTAAGTTGTGTTTAGTTTACTTAATTTGCTTTTTAATTTTGTCTTTTGATTAATGATTCTTAGGAAAAAGGGAACACCCCACTCCATGTCGCCTCCAAAGCAGGACAGATTTTACAAGCTGAGTTACTCGCAATATATGGAGCTGACCCAGGCACACAAGATTCTAGTGGGAAAACTCCTGTTGATTATGCAAGGTAAGAGCCCAAGATTCTTGCCACTTCTGTCTGTGGGCTGATAAGTAGCTAAATTGAGTATGCTTAATGTCTGACCCCTTTAAAGATTTACATTGAATCATTTTACAGATGAAGACATTTCACATGTATACATAAACTCAGTCTGGCAAAGTCAGGGAAGGGTGGAATCATAAACCAATGTGTTTAGCATCCAGTCTTTTACTTGATCCTTTATAAGGCAAGTATCAAGAATTATAGAGGTCTGATGGTATAGCTCAGTGGTACAGTACTTTTCTAGCATATGAAAGGCCCTGGGTTCTATCTCTAGCACTGAAAAAAATAAAGTAACAGGAGTGTCCATTCTTCAGTTTTTTTCTTTTGGCAGTACTGGAGTTTGAACTCAGGGCCTCATACCTCCTAGACAGGCACTCCACCCCTTAAGCCATTTTTGCTAGCCTTCTTTTTCTTTTTGGCAGTACTGGGGTTTGAACTCAGGGCCTCATGCTTGCTCTACTACTTGTGCCACACCCCCAGCCCTTTTTATTTTAGCTATTTTTCCGGTATGGTCTTGCATTTTTGCCCAGGGGCCAGCCTCAGACTGGTATCCACTTAACTTATATCTCCTGTCTAGAAGGGATCACAAATGTGATCCCTTCTATTATTTTTTGAAATTAAGATCTTGCTAACTTTTTTGCCCTGAGTGGCCTTGAACCATGGTTCTCTTAATCTCTGCCTCTCAAGTAGCAGGTATTATAGACATGAGCTGTGCCCGCCCCACTTCTCATTTGTTTAATGTTCTCAGTTATTGCTTAAACTTAAAACCAAATCTGTGGATAGATATATGATTAAACAAGTATAATAAAATGTAAATTGCAAATTTTAGATAGTGGACATATGAGTGCTCTCTGCACAGTTCTTTAAAATTTTCCAAATGTTGTTTTGTTTTGTTTTGTTTTCAAAGTGGAGTCTTGATATATTGACCATGCTGACCTTGAACTCCTGAATTCAAGCATGTTCATGTCCCAGCCTCTTGAGTAGCTGGAACTATAAGTGTGCACCACCATACCCAGCTAAATTTTTTCTTTATTTGAAAATTCTAACTATGAAATGCTAGAACATTAAGTGAATTTATAGGGTTAAGTAATCCATTTAAACCTGTGAATTTAAATGATAGAAAATTAATCATCTTTCCTTTTTCCAAAGTTCGTTCTGTTTCATGATTCATAGATGTTAAAAATTTATGAGGAATCAAGATGTGTATATTAAAAATCGAAAATGTATAGTAGGTTGGAGGGTAGTTTGTAATGCCTTGAATGGTAGGAAGAGAGACTGAAACTAAGATGAAAACTAAGATTTGACCTTTAAAGAGGAAAAGCCAATTTGGAATTTTCCTCATGTGCTTTACATATAGTAGTCTTTCAGTATAATAATTTATATACTTTGTACTAAAGGATTCCAAGTAGTTTAAATGTTTAGTTAATGAGCGAAGAAGCCAAACTTAGAGATTGAACCTAAAGAGGTAAAAGTAGCTGGACATGAGCTCTGCATTAGACTGATCAGTCTCTCCCTGAACTGGAGCTCTTGAAGAGGTTTCAAGGCTCTCGTCTAGAGGCTTACTGGCCACATCAGAATGAGCTTGGGGAAGGGCCTTTTTCTCTTTTTATTTTTTTCTTTTCTTTTTTTTGTTTTTTTGGTACTGGGGCTTGAACTCAGGGCTTGTGCTTGCTAGGCACTTACTCTGCCACTTGAGCCACTCCACTAGCAAGCAAGGGCTTTTCTCAAAGCATTGATGTGGGAGCCTGTTAGTCTGTACTGATTCAAGGAGTGAGGTGACACCTTTAAGGACTTTTGTTTGTTTTTCAGTGCTGGTGTGGAATCCAGGGCCTTACTAGGCAAGCTCTCTACCACTGAGCTAGGGTGAGACCTGGACATTGTGTATTTCTGGAAACACTAACTTTTAAGAACCTTTACCCTCAACCATTTATTGATTTTATTTTCCCACCTCATTAAATGAAGTTTTTGTTGGATTGTTTATTTGTTTGGGTTTTTTTGGGGGGAGGTGGGGGGAGAGTTGGCAGTTTGAACTCAGGGCCTCATTCTTCCTAGCCAGGCTCACTTGAGCCATGTCCTTGGTCATTTTTTGCTTTAGTTATTTTTTAAGTATATTTAGTTCTTTTTTAAGTATAGTCTTACATTTTTACCTAGGGCCAGCCTCAGACCTCAACCCTCCTACCTATACTTCCTGCATAGCTGGGAGTATAAGCATGAGCCACTGGGCATGGCTGAAGTTATTCTTTAACCCCGTTGTGAGTCTGTAAATTCCTTGCTTATTCTATTTTGTACAGTTATAAAGGAAAAGGGGTAAGTCAGATGGTTAAAAACAGTTTATAGAGGAGGGACTTGAAGTGTAACAATCTACCACACACAAAAAGGTTGATTATTCTAGAAAGTTATGTTTGATAAAACTGTTCAGCTGCCTCCGAGGATGAATTTGTACTTTTCTACTCAAACGCCAGTGGTAAATAATGAGCAATATCAATGGTACTTTGTCATTTCTTGGTAGGCATGGAGGGCACCACGAGCTGGCAGAACGCCTTGTAGAAATACAGTATGAGTTGACTGACAGACTGGCCTTCTATCTCTGTGGCAGGAAACCAGGTGAGTGAAAGGATAATAACCTCACCACACCTCCAGTATAGAACGTTCTGGAAAAAAAAGTTTGGACAATATTTTTATGATCTCCTCTGTTTTAACATATCCTTAAGAAAATTGTTAATAAATGTTTTATTTGAAAGGATAAGATAGCTCAGAATCTGTCTTGCTTTGTTTTTTTTTTGTTGTTGTTTGTTTTTTTTATCTATAGTAGCATTTATTAGAGAGAAAGGAAAAGACTACAGCTAGAGAAGTGCATCAGGGCCTGGAAGCCAGTAGCTCCTTGCTTTGTTTTTTGAGACATGGTCTGTCTGTAACTCAGGCTGGCCTTGAACTCTGAATCTTCCTACCTGTACCTCCCGACTGCTAAGATTCATGTGTGCATCACCATGTCCATCTTAGATAGTTGCAGGTTTTTCAGTTATTGGTAAAATATACAAAGTTGGTCAAATCTCTTTGAATTTTTAGTTTTCAGAACTTTGTTTTAGCTCTAGAGAAGTGACTATTTCAATAAAGAGCATAATTAAATCAAAACTGAACGTGTACCTTAGTTCTTAAACAACATGAGGCCAGCAATGGAAGAGAAAGCAATAACTTTGTAGTTACTTGAAGAAGAATTCTGTCTAAGGATGGAAAAAGTCCAAAAGTAAACTTTGCCTAAACCAGCTTTGTTATTTGTGATATAGAACAGGGGTCAGCCAGGCACCAGTGGCTTACACCTGTAATCCTACCTTCTTGGGAGACTGAGTTGGGAGGATCTCGGTTCAAGGCCAGCCCAGGCAAATAGTTCATGAGATCCCCTCTTCAAAATAACCAGAGCAAAATGACCTGGTGGTATGGGTCAAGTGATAAGAGTGCCAGCTCTGCAAGCATGAAGCCCTGAGTTCAAACTCTAGTCCCACAAAAAAAAAAAGATAAACAACTTATGGTCTGTCTATGGTCTGTGAATCAAATCCAGCCTGCTTTGTATATGGCCACTTTCACACAAGACCAGCAGAATATTTGAGTAAATGACCACAAAGCATAAAATATTTACTGTTCAGCCTTACATATAAGAGATTTGCCAATCTCCAATGCATAATGTCCATGTACAAATGTATACGTTGGTTCTCCACCCTAGTTATGCAATAGAATTAAGCCCAGTGTGGTTCCATGTTGCATTAAGGTAGAATAAGCAAACCCCACCATGTCTTTCCTACTGAATGGAGCTAAAAGCTGAGGACCAAATGCTCAGTGTAGCTATCTAAGGACTCTCAGTAGTAAATCCTAGCTGATAAATGAGGGACCATGAAGTACCATCAAGCTGTCAGTGAGGTCCTGTTTATTTTACTTATGATATGGGTTCAGTGGTAGCCTGTGACCTGGAACTGCATAACAAGTGCTTAGAAGTCTTCTGTTCTGATGAACAGGAAAAAGGACTCCCATAGGACAGATAGTAGGAAGATTCTCCTGGGGTGTTTTCTCCTTGTTTTTTCTGTTCTCTTCCATCCCAAATCCAAAGCCAGCCTCTGGGTACAGAAGCAACAACAGCAGTGGCAGCAAAGGTGCCTCAATGTCTGATCACTGGCACAAGGGAATCTGGATTGCTTTTCCTTTTCACATATTCTCTCCCTACCTGCTCAGTAGGCAGAACCAAAACTCTACAGGCAAATTTTAAAATGGAATGTTAAAAATTACTTAAATAAATAAGCTACTTGGGAGGTAGACATAGGAGGATTATGGTTCAGGGCAAGCCTGGGCTTAAAGTTGTGAGACTCCATCAACCAGTGTCTAGGCATGGTGGCACACCTTTCATTCTGGCTACACGTGGAAGTACAAATAGGAGGATTTTTGCAATCTAGGTGGGTCTGGGCATAAAGTGAGTCCCTATCGCAATAACCAATGCAAAAAGGACTGACAGAGTGTTAGAGAACCTGCCTAGCAAACACAAGGCCCTGAGTTCAACTCCCAATACTGCCCTCTTCCCCCCAAAATTACTTAAATAATCAAAAAATATTTTGATTGAAAATACTCAGAAGATAAGAGGAAAAGTAAAAAATAAACAAAAAATGAGGATCACCAGAAAATAAATACTAAAACGATAGACCTAAATCAAGACATATCAATAATTACATTAAATATTAAATATGTATGATTTTAAAATCCAATTAAAAGCAGAAATTGTCAGAATGGTTCAAAAGAAAACAAAGAGTGAACTATATGCTATGTACAAGAAACCAACTTTAATTATAATGATACAGGTAAGTTAAATACCAAAATGTATAAAAAGATGGTCCATGTAAACACTAAGTAAAAGAAAGCTAGGGTAGCTATACTATACTAGATGATATAGACCTCAAAGCAAGGAAAATTAGCATAGATAGAGCAGGACATAGAATGATGACAAAAGGGTCATTTACCAAGAAGATGCAACAAGTGTAAATGTGTATATTGTCAACAGAGCTTCAAATTACATAAAGCAAACTTCAGTAGAACTAAAAGAAGAAAAGGTTAAATCCCTAGTTCTTATTGAAAACTCAACACATCTCTTAAAAATAAATAGAATTAGGTAAATAATCAGTAAAGATACAGAACTAAACCAAACCAAAAACCAACTGGATGTAACTGATATTTATAGACTACCCTACCCAAAAATATCAGACTACACATGCTTTTCAAGACACATTGAACATTTAACAAGGTAAGCCATTCTTGAGTCATAAAACACATCTTACCAAATCTGAAGGAACTAAAATCTACAAAATATATTATCTACCTATAAGGCAATTAAGCTAGAAATGGATTTAAAAATAAAAGTAAATACTCAAGTGCTTAGAAATTGAACAGTACCTTCTAAGTAATCGATGGATCTAAGAGGAAGTCTTAAGAGAAAATAGGGTAAATAGAAAATATATTCAATTAAGTGAAAATACAATATATCAAGAAAATTTTGTGGGTCAAGTGTGGTGGCCTACACCTGTAATTCTTGCTATTTTGGAGGCTGAAATCAGGTAGATCACAATTCAAGGCTAGTGGAGCAAATAGTTTGAGAGAACCCCCCCCCATCATCAAAGTAACCAGAGCTAAATGGACAATAGCTATGGTTCAAGCAGTAGAGAGCTTGCTTTGCAAGCATGAAGCACTGAGTTCAAACCCCAGTCACACCAAAAAAAAAAAAAAAAAAAAAAAAATATGTGTGGGATACAGCTAATGCACTGCTTAGAGGGAATTTTAAAGAGTAGAAATCAGTGAACCTGAAAGAGGAAAACAGTGGAGAAAAATTAATAAGACCAAAAACTGATTCTTTGTAAGAATCAATAAAATTGATAGTTGTCTAGCTGTACTGATAGAAAGACAAAGGAAAGAATACAAAGATAGGATATCACTAAAAACCCCCAGATATATAATTATGCATATAATTTAGACAGCTTAACTCCTTGAAAGCCACTAACTACCAAAACATACCCAAGAAGAAGGAGGTAATGTAAGTATGTAACCCTATATATATACTTTTTAACTTTTTTTATTTTTGTGGTACTGGGGATTAAATACCAGAGGTTTGTGTATACCAGGTAAGTATCAGCCACTGAGCTACATTCCCAGCCCTACAATCCTGTATTTTAAAAAATTTGAGTTTGTGTTTCAAGACATTCCATTAAAGAAAACCCTAGGCACAGAAAATAGGAGAGAGAATACTTCCCCACTCATTGTATGAAGCTAGCAAAACCATCTAAGATGGTACAAAAAGTATCCATCATAGACAAAAATCCTCACCATGCTTTAGCAAACTGAATTCAATAATTTATAAAAAGAAAAATGCAACGTAACCAAGAAGGGGTTCCAAATATACAAGTCTGATTGAGTATTTGAAAATCAACTAATGTAATCAATCACATTAACTGACAAAAATTGTACATTTATATCAGTTGATGTAAAAAGGCATTCAGCTATATTCACATCTATTCATGATTTTTTAAAAAATCTTAGCAAATTAGGAACAGATGGGAATTCCTTAATGTGATACATAGTGTCTCTAGAAAATCAGCAGCTAGCATCATTTTTAATGATGAAGAGCTACTTTTGCTCTCAGATAGGGAACAATGCTGGATGTCCATTCTCACCACTCCTGTTCAGCATCACACTGAAAATTCAAATCACTGCCATCAAGACAAGAAAAATACAAGACATACAAATTGAAGGAAGAAATAAAATTTTCTCCATTTAAATGAGATAATTTCTATGTGGAAAGAACCAACAAGAAAATTCCTAAAACTGAAGAGTTTATCAAGGTTACAGAATGTAAAGTCGGTAGTCAAAAAAAAAAAAAATATATATATATGTGTATATTTCTTTAGCAATGAAGAAATGGAAACTAAAGCCAGAAAATTAATACCATTTATAATAGTTCCAAATTAAATACTTCGGTATAAATCTTATAAAGTATAGATGTCTGTGTGCTAAAAACTACAAAAAGCTAATGAAAGAAATCAAGGAAGACCTGAGTAAGTAGAAATACTGTATTTAGAGATTGGAAGACTCAATATAGTTAGCATGTCAGTTCCCCACATATTAATGCATAAGTTCAGCTCAAGATTTTTCATAGGTACAGACATTCTCATTCTAAAATTTAAATAGACAAAGGAAGTAGACCAGCCAATACAGTTTTACAAAAGAAGGATATTGTGGGTGGAAGCACACTACCCAATTTTAAGACTTGCTAGAACGTTCTGCACATGGGTCAATGAAGCAGTGTAGAGAATCCAGAAATAGACCTATATGAATGTGTTCAGTTGATTTTTGACAAAGGTACAAAGGTAATTCAATGGAGAAAGGGTAGTGTTTTTAGTCTTTTAGTATTGGGACAACTGGACTCCATGTGGTAAAATGAACTTCAGTCCAAACCTCAAGCCTTATACAGAAATTAACCCAAATGGGTCATAAATCTAAATATAAAACTGAAAAAACTTATAGAAGAATACATTAAAGGCACAATCATAAAAGAAAATAATGATAAATTCTACTTCATCAAAACAAAAAAACCTTTTACTCAGAACACTGTGGTTAAGAGAATGAAAAGACAAACCATAGACTGGAGGAAATATTAGGATATCATATATTCAATAAATAATTTGTATCTAGGTTATTTAAAGAACTCTTAAAACTGAACAACAAAAAAAAAGAACCAGTCATTCTCATTCTCACTCTAGATATGGTCTACTTTCAGTCTATTGAAAATTGAAAGTATTCCTTTCCTAATAAACTATACTATCACTTTCACTATAAAAAAATAAAGGAAGGGAGGGAGGGGTGGCACTTAGGAGGCTGAGGCAGGAGCATTGCTTTAGCCCAGTGATTCAAGACCAACCTGGGCAATGTAGCAACAAAATCCCATCTCAAAAAAATGAAAAAAGAAAAACTTGGGTGAAGGCTGTATATAGATGACCAAAAAATTAAAAAACAAGCCCATCATTAGCCATTAGGGAAATGAAAATTGAAATCAAAGTGAAATACCACAACGTGTCTAATAGAATGACTATTAAAAATATGTGCTGGGAAAGATACAGCATAACTATAACTTTCATTTGTTGTTCAGAATACAGAACAATAGAGCTATTCTGGGAAAAGATAAAGCCTATAGTTTTTTACCAAGTTAAACATACATTTATCATTTAATCCAGGGGTCCTACTCCTAGATACTTACCCAAGAGAAATACAGAGTTAGGTTTATACAAAAACCTATATAGATGCTTAGAATGGCTTTATTCATTGGAATATAGATCAGCGTCTGCTAGAAGCTAGGATAGGACTGAGTCAGTAAGCATCCTGATAGACAGTCCTTCTCTGGATCTGCAAAGACCATCTGCCCCGGCCCTGACCATTTCCCACTAATTTATTAATTTGAGCAAGCCACCAGAGCTCAGTGAAGCTCCACCATCCTCACTGTGAGCTGATGGAAGGCTGCTCTGAACTAATTCAGTTCCCTCAGCATTATTCCATGCCTGAAGATCACCAGTTATCCTGGGGATGAACTAATCCTAAGGATTCAGGTGAGCTTAGGTTTTCTACTGAATGATGTCTGGATGTTTGTACTAGAAGAAGAGGATGTGATTCTTGATACTACACAGGTTTTCAGGGATCTTTTGTGTGTGTGTGTGTGTGTGTTACTAGAGTTTGAACTCAGGGGCTATGCCTACTCCTCCTGATTTCTGCCTCCTGAGTAGCTAGGATTACAGGTGTGAGCCACCAGCACTCAGCAGCCTGGCAAACTTCTATTCCCCTACGTGATTTGTAATTATGGAGAAATATTAATTGTAAAACTTAAATCAAGGAAATAGTAGTGGTATTCCTTTACAGATCTTATCAATATTTATATGAATAAAACTGGTTTCTGTTTCAGATCACAAAAATGGACAACACTTTATAATACCTCAAATGGCAGACAGGTAAGGCCAACAGAATACCAATTTTGTCTGTCCCAATATCTCCCTGGTGTTGAAGTGTGTCATATTTTGTGTTTAACAAAGCCCATACATTTCTCTCTTTTATGGCTATACAATTTGGAAATAAGACGGCTGTAAGTAAACTACCATATAAAACTTAAGTTTGAAAGAGCACACATAACAAATTTACTAACAAGGAAATTGGGGTCAGTGATGTTGTCACTGTTTCTGCCAGTTGTTACAGAATATTGTGTTATATTCACAAATATTTTTGTGTTAGATGAGACATACCTCCAGCCCTTTTGTGTAATGGCTTTTTTTTCAAGATAGTGTCTCGCAAACTCTTTTGCCCGGGCTGGCTTTGAACCGTGATCTTCCTGATCTCTGCCTCCTGAGTACGTAGGATTACAGGTGTGAACCACCAGCGCCCAGTGTATATTTTTTATTTAAAACAAGGGGTCAACAAACTTTTTTTTTGTCAAGAGCCAGATCCTAAGCATCTTAAGCTTTATGAGCCATACAACCTATTGTAACTATTCAGCCCTGCCAGTGTAGTTGAAAGCACCAGTGAGCACCATGTAAATGAGTTGACATGTCTGTTCCAGTAACATTTTATTTCCACACCTTATGAAATGCTATTCTTTCTCCTTCCAAACCATTAAAAAATATAGAAACCCTGCTTGTTAGCTCATGAGCTGAGCAAAAAGAAGACCATAATTTGTCAACCTCTAATTTTTGCGATCAGATGAATTCATTGCTGCAGGATGAACCTTAAACCCTATTTATACAAAAGCCCTATTTGTGTAAATACAAGAGCTTATGAAATGATTAACTATTGTTCCAGATGTAATCTTGCCATTCCAGTTTTCCACATTTTCTCTTTTTTGCATTTTCTTCTCTCTTTTTTTTTTTTTAATGTTGCAGGGATGGAACTCAGGGCCTCACACATGCTAAACAAATGTTCTACCACTGAGCCACATCCCAGCTGATTGCTTTTCTTTTTAATACTTCAAAGATTGTGACTCCTTACCTAAGAGCCTGGAGATTAACCAAACAGTAGCTTTTGTTGTTTAGTTGGTGGGCAATGTTTTCTCTCTTTACTGTATTATATGGCTGTTATATTTCTAGAAGAAATCACTTTGGCCAAATTGTTTGTTTCCTGTTGGGCTATAAGTTCTTGGCTTAGATAGTGTCTATAAACTGTAATAATATTTTCATTGAGTATCTCAGTCTTCTACAAAGTTCATGAACATGATTCTATTTATTTGCTTACTGGTTTTGTACATTTTCTTAGCAGCCTGGATTTGTCTGAATTGGCAAAAGCTGCTAAGAAGAAACTTCAGTCTGTGAGTACCTCTTTACTGGTAAACTCCAACATGGGCATTCATGTATCCTGCTGGTACCTGTTGTCAGTCCAAATTACCTATTGTATCAGACGACTTTATTTCATACTTTGTGATATTATCAAATTATAAACAGACCATTGAGTATACAGCAATGAAAAACAAAAGCACTATTAAGTTTAGTATATCCAGTTCATTGGCTCTGCTTCAAATAATGCCATTTTTCTCTGTCATGTTAAAAGTGAAGCCTCTGCCTATGTTATTGGGAAATTGTTTCTCCTCATGAGAGTTCCTTGTTTTCTCTCAGGGTAAATAAATAAGTTAGGTACCTTTCCCTGGGATTACTTCTGATAGCCACATAGGATTCTGGGGAATGATAAAAGCTGATGCTGGCAGGGGGATGAGTCCTAAATTTACTCACACATCAGTAAAACTCTCCTGTGCTATTCATCAGAGATTTTTTAAAGCTGGTCATGACCACGATCCAGACCCACATACATGCTCTGAGTTTGCCCAGCCTCACCTTAATATGTGTCTGTTTTTGTATCCTGCCCACTGCAGCATCAGGCAATACCCCAGGAAACTGACTATTCTGGGAAAGTTTCCCTTTTTCCATGCCTTCATAGGAAGCCTCATCTGGGTGCTTCCCAGCCATATTAACCACCAGGTTTCACTCCTTAACTCTCTCTCCCTATTGCTCTCTGAATCAGAACCAAGATTCTTAGCTTTTTTCTTGTAACCTTTAAGGATGTCATCCAACTCTCACCTTTCAGAGCTTGTCTTACTTCCCATCTGGGTATCATTGTGTGTGTGTCGGGGGGGTGTCTGTCTTGTCTGTCTGTCTCCAGGTGTTTATAGGTGAACAGTCTCTGAGACTAAGAGCTGCCACCTTCAGGTCCTCTTTTGCCTGCATGTTTACCTTGCCCAGCTTCCATGCCTTTTAAGGAACTGATGTCTCACCACCTCTACAGTGTAGGTAATAGCTTTTCCAAAGCCCAACTCTGAAACCACAACTTCCCTAATTTATGACTTTCTCCTCATGCCTTTCTTTCACAAAAGACCCTTTTTAGAACATCATATAATACTAAGTATTAAATACCACATAAAATGAATTTATCCTTACTAGTATTTAACTATATTGCAAAATAAATGTGTTTTATACAATTTGTTTGGTGTCTCTCTGTTCTCTATCTATGGTTTTGTGTGTATGTGTGTTTTATTGCCTTTCTTAAATTAAGTAGACCATGTAAGATGATTAAAGATTGTAAGCTTTGGAAGCAACATAAAATATTATGTGCTTTCCTTTTAATTACTCATAATATGTAAGTAAACTTACGTATAATTTATCCTAGATAAAATTCATATTCCCTTTGACTCTCCTGCATTTGCTAAGCTGGAAGCCTCATGAAAGCTGAGGTTATAACTATAATATCGAGCATGCTGCAGGTACTAAATGAATACCTTGGACAGAGTTTGGTACTGCTGCCAGGAACTTGGGCTGTGGGTTAGATTGGTCAAGTTCCCCCATCTGCCGTGCCAAGCACTTCAGTCACTCTGGCTTGGTATCATCCCCAGGGAAAAGAAGGTAATGATGTAGTAGAACAGAACTGCTAGGTAAGGTTTAGCTGCCCTTTTCACCTGTGACCACCCCATGGTCTTCTTGCAGGTAGCTGTACTTACCAGTACCAGAGCAGCATTTACCTCGTGCTGTATTTCTTCTCTCCTTCCCCCCTTTCCTTCTTCCCTCCTTCCCTTGTCTTTACTCTTTCCCTGCATCCTTTCTTTCCTTCCTCCCCCCTCCCTGCATCTGTCTCTTCCTCCCTTCCTCTCTTCTTCTCTCCCTTCCTTCCCAATGAAAAGCTGAGAGAAATATAATAAAGATCAAGATATTCATGAATTAGTAAATGTCAATATCTTGAGAGACTTGACCTGAATCTCAGATCCATCATTTACTAGCTTTGTGACTTTATAAGCTATTGACTTCTGTACCTCAATTTCCTTATCCGTAAAATGCAACAATAATAAAGCCCATCTTCATAGAGGTGTTGAAAGTAAATGGTATACTGGTATCACAGTGCCTGGAATATAAGCCCTTAGTCATTGTTGGCCAGGGTTGTTGTTGTCAGTGATAATAATCAGCTGATAGTCCCCTAGAGCTAGAAACTAGGTATTTATGAAAAAGGTTCAAACTCACAATCCTACCTCATCTTATCCCAGCAACAATCTCAGGGTTTATTTTTCATTATAAATGTAATGTGACTACACTAGAGAGATAGACAACAGAGATGGTAGATTCTTCCTCAATCTCTGTGTTCTTAGTAGATTCAGAATTAGTGTTTTGGTACAGTTTCGTGTTTTTGTTCTTTTTTCTTTTGCAGTTCTAGTCAGGTGCTCTACCACTTGAGCCGCACCTTAGTTCTTATTTCATAAGTATATCTATTTTCAGAATTAGAAATCATAGTATAGAATTTTATATCCTGCTTTTTTTTTCACCCAACATTGTATTATACACATTTCACATATTCCTACATGTTCTCTAGCCAGCATTGTATTTATTTTGTTCTATTTTTAAACATTTTTTACTTTCTACTTTTGGTTTTTTGAGGTAGGGTCTCACTGTGTAGCTCAGGATGGCCTGAAACTTGTGATCCACCTTCCTCAGCCTCCCAAGTGCTGAGATTATAGGTGTGTGCTGCCACGCTTAGTTCTGTAGCCAGCATTTTAGATTGCTGCATAAATGACCTTCAAGTCAGTCTGGCTGGATGTTTACTAAGCCTCCCTTTGGTTTCAGATACTGTTTGTGGATGTAATACAAAAGGCACTATAACAAACTGAGCATTTGTCCTCACACAGCAGGGAAACAGTTAAAAAGTCACAACTACCAAATATCAGGGTGAGTTTCATGAGGCAAAAAGCAAGAGAACCGGAGCAACCCTGGCAGTGGCTTAACCTTGTCTGAGTTGGAAAACCTTGATTGTCTTCCCTTTCTTTGTACCCTGTTTGTGGCTGCTGCCAGTGAGGCCCAAGTCTGTATGGTGATTGTGTTGTGAGCTGACACCACACAGTGTACTGGGTAGTCAGGCTCTCCTTTTTTAGAGATGCTCAATTGTTCTGGGCATTGAAGGCCTGCTCCTGAGGAGCACAACAGAGAAATCTCAGCACAACTCCACGGTACATTTTCATTTCTTTATCCTACTAGTGGTTTAGGATTCCCTACTTTTGGGGAACTGGACAGATTATCCTCAAAGGCAGAAGAGACTTACTTACAGAGTGCCATCACAAGGAGAGCAGAGAACGGAGCCTGCTTTTGAAATAACGCACATTAGTTACCTCTTGCCTTCTCAGTAGCAGCAATCCTGTTTGTGAGGCCGTTGTAGGAGGCAGATGCTTCCAGAGGATCTGTACAACTTTGGAAATGTAATGGGGTAGTTGTTAGGCACTGTCTTTTTTTTTTTTTTTTTTTCATTTTTCTTTTATTATTCATATGTAGGCACTGTCTTTGAATAGACATTGGAGGTAAAAGAGTGAGTAAGTCACAGTCCCCTCTTGTCCACCTGGTGTTAATCGTTGTCCCTTGTGTTCCTGATATTTTTTTACTTTCAGCTAAGTAATCATTTGTTTGAAGAACTTGCCATGGATGTGTACGATGAAGTTGACAGGCGAGAGACTGATGCAGGTGACTTACCATGTGGCTTTATCTACTAAGCTTCTGTTATCAATAGGCAGTGACAAGCTGCCAGCCTCAGTGTTTCACTTGCCCAATTTCTACTATCCTCCTAATGCGTGTGTCGACATGTACTTTTGCGTGTGTTGGCTTCAGAGTGTGCTTCCCCAAGTCTCCCTAGTAACGCGTGAGCCGTGCCTCCCACCGGAGCCGTGGCACCCCAGGTGTGATGAGATTCTGTCTCTGGCTCTTTCCTCTGGCTAGTCTGGCTTGCCACGCAAAACCACAGCACCCTGGTAACCGAGACAACTGTCGTCCCCTTTCTTCCGGTCAATCCCGAGTACTCATCAACACGAAACCAGGCAAGTGGCTCAGTTTGAAAAGTAACTAGTAGTAGTATTTGAGGAATGGCTAATGTCATGGTGTTTTATTTTCCCAGAATGAATATTAGAAGTGTTTTGATTAAAATTTAATATCTTGTATACACATAAACACAACTCAAAGTGATAAGCAGTAGATGGGACTATGACTGGAAATGAATAAAAACAATTTACAGAAGAAATATAAACGGCTTACAAGTGGAAAGAAATGGTTAATCTTTTATCTTAAAGAAAGAAACCAGAAGGGGAATTAACAAAATGCATAATAAAGGATGTTCCAAGCTGACAATGTGGCAGGATGACCTTTCTCATGCTGTAGAGATTTTAAGCTACTATATAGACTTAGAAAAGCAATTTGTTGCTGCACGCCCGTGATACCAGTACTTAGGAGGCCAAGACAGAGAATCATGAGTGTCAGGCCAGCTTGGGCTACATAAGGAGACCAGTCTCAAAAAAAAGAAGGGAGGGGGTGAATTCAAATGTGATATATTTGATACATTGTAAGAACTTTTTAAATGCTATATTGTACCCCCACCCAGCACAACAGTGTTTTAAAAAGGGGGAGCAGGGAGGGAAAGAAAAAAAATTTGTTCAACCAGTTTCAGAAGCCTCATCCTTACACAGGATTTCTGTATTGGGGATTTTTTTTTTTTCTTTTGGTGGGACTGGGGTTTGAACTCAGGTTGAGCCAGCAAAGCAGGTGCTCTACCACTTAAGCCACACCTCCAGTCCATTTTGCTCTGGTTATTTTGGAGATGGGGGTCTGGCAGAACTATGTGCCCAGGCTGGCCTGGAACCTCAACCTCTCAATCTCAGCCTCCCAAGTAACTAGGATTATAGGCGTGAGCCACCAGCGCCCGGCAAAACCATTTTATGTTTGTTCACAAAAATAAAGTGGATTGTGAGCATTTAAATATTAAGAAGTTCCCTTATATAAATGCTTTTAAAATATTCTCACAGAAAATAATGTTCCACTCAATTATGGCTGTAATTTATTATACTTTGATTATAGTAGAATGCCTTTATAGAAGTCTGTCAGTAACTATTTTGGTGTGACTATTCATGTCTATATTTTTACATTGGGAAATATTTCCAATTCTCTTCTTACCCTTAGGGCAGACAGAAATTAGCTCGGTTTAATGCCCATGAGTTTGCTACGCTGGTCATCGACATTCTCAGTGACGCCAAAAGGAGACAGCAGGGCAGTCCTCTATCTGGCTCAAAAGGCAAGTGTCTAGCTTTAAGTGTGTGCTTCTTTGGGCCTTCTAAGACCTGACTGCTAAATTTAAAGCTGGAGGTAAATTAAAGTAGTCATTGACACAGCACCTTACCATCCTTTAAGTTTTATTGGTAATATATTATGATGTAAAGTTACCTGTAAATTATTATTAAGTATTATTCAGGTTGATTTTATGTATCATTTTTTTCCTATTGGGTCACTTTTCCCATAAAATTGAATCCTAAAATTAACCAAAAGTTTGGCTTAAATCTTACTAAGGATATAAGAAAATAAACACTTTCGGTTGAAATTGCATCATGCTTACCTCCAAAACTGAGTTCCAAATAATTAAAATTTGTTGCTGTAAACATTAAATGTCTATAGCAAAAAGTATTAATGATTGAAAGTTATAAAGAGAGCATTGAGCATCTATTTCAGAAGTGAATTTCTGGGTTTTTGGGTCCTGTCTCTGTGCTTAGGAATCTACTTCCTCTGCAGCCCATTACTATAGACTTGTTGGGTTTTTTCCTAGTTATAGAAATTATACCCCTTTTTTTTGAAAGGCTTTTAAAAGAAATATGTACCAGTCAAATGCCGGTGGCTCACACCTGAAAACCAGGAGGCAGAGATCAGGAGGTCTGGGCAAATAGTTCACAGGACCCTATCTTGAAAAAAACCAACATAAAAAATGACTAGCAGAGTGGCTCAAGTGGTAGAGCAACTGCCTAGCAAGTATGAGGCCCTGAGTTCAAGATCCAGTACTACAAAAGGAAGGAAGGAAATACATACCATAAGAGTTAAGTTTCCTGTCAGCTTCACATGCCCCAAAGACTGGAACAATTTGTTCTTTCTTCTTGCCCATTCAGGAATTTGATTTTATTGGTTCAACTAGGAGTAAAGAAATTCTTAAAAGTGTATTAAATTTTGGTAAAGGTGCAGGGATAAGAGTCTGCATAAACTTGAATTCTTTGAGTTGAGTCTTTGCATAAGTGTGCCTACTCTTAAAAGAGAAATAACTGAAGATGTTATATATAATAGCAGAAACATTATAAATAATTAAATAATTTTAAATAATTAAATAAACAACCAGCCATATATTTGAATGTACAGAGATGTTTTTTCTTTCCAGAGAATATGCAATGATACAGAATAAAGTGATACACTTTTTTCTGGGCTTGGTGGTACACTCAGGAAGTGGAGGCAGGAGGATCACAAGTTTGAGGCCAACCTGGGCTGCATAACAAGACCCTGTTTCAAAAAAAAAAAAAAAAGTAGTAGACTTTCAGAAGTTTGGTATAATAGCAATTTTGTAAGCAAAGCATTTACATACATAAACATATGCAAGAGTCTACGGCTTGTAAATATGCACATATTGTTGCTCCTCACATGCACATCCCATATTTGCACATTCATCTGCTTGCCAAAGTTACTTGTAACCACAAATCAGTACTCAAAACACTTTTAAGGTCATTCTTGATGGATGCAGAGTGTCAAAAGATTCGAATCTCCCAAAGTAGGTTCTTAACTGAAGTGGAACCAGTTAACCTTTTCATGGCCTATTTAGTGTGATGTTTTTCTCAGTTTTGTGCTTTCTGTTGGTGATTTTGCTATTTAACAATGGCCCCAAACTCAGTGCTGATGCTGTCTAGTGTTGCTAAGTGCAAAAAAGGCTGACGTGTGCCTTACAGAAAGTGTGTATTCAGTGAGCATCATTCTGGCATGATTCACAGTGCTGTTGACCAGGTTCCTGAATCAACAACTTGTATTGAATAAGGTTTCCTTAAACAGAAATACACATGAAATGAGGCTGTGTTGACTGGTTGATGAAAACATGACCAGAGGTTCTCAGGAATCTAATCCTGTATTGCCCCTAGCAGCAGTGGTTCCACATTGGTTCATTTAGTCTTCATAGCAAATTTTTAGAATGTCACTACTGAAAATATAAGAATTGACTCTGTGCGCACGCATGTGTGGTTAGGAGAAAGAAAAACCTAGAAAGGACAGGCACAGTGGCTCATGCCTGTAATCCTGAAAAGTTCATATGATCCTATCTCAACCAATAAAAAGCTAAATGTGGTGGGCACACCTGTCATACAGCTGTGCAGGAAGCCTAAATAGGACCATCACAGTCCAGCCTGGCCTAGGCACAAATTTGAGGCCATATCTCAAAAATAACCAAATCAAGAAGTGGTGGGGTTGTGGCTGAAATGGCACAGTGTCTGTCTGGCAAGCAGAAGGCCCTGAGTTCAAACCCCAGTACTGTCACAAACAAAAAAAAAAATTGAAAGGAATAGAGCAATTTATAATAAAAACTAGGTGATTTTTATCATCTTGCTCATTAGTTTCCAAATTCACTATATTAAATCTTCATTATATCCATAATTGCATTATATTTATATGCTTTTAAATATTCATTTTAAAATTAGGACCTAGTCCTCTTAAGAAACCATAATTCATCAACCAGACATCAGCCATCAAGATATCCAAAAATGGTATTAGAGATCAGGTGCCCGTGGCTTGTGCCTATAATCCTAGCTAGTCAGGAGGACCATGATTCGAAGCCAGCCCTGGGCAAATAGTTCGTGAGACCCTATCTCAAAAAAAAAAACCAACACAAAAAAGGGCTGGTACAGTGGCTCAAGTGGTAAGAGCATCTACCTAGCAAGTGTGAGACTCTGAGTTTAAACCCCAGTGCCACCAAAAAAAAAAAAAAAAAAAAGAATAAATCAGGGGTTAACTAGAATTGCCCCAAAAATTGGAGAATCTTAGGTAGCTTGTGAAATCGTTTTGTTTATTTGTTTTTGTTACACTTACGGGATTTGAACTCATGGCCTTGTGTTTGCTATGCAGGCGCTATACCACGTGAGCCATCACTCCAGCCCTGTGAAGTCTTTAATTCCAAGTGTGTCAGACCCTATAGAATCATATTTCAGCCCTGTATAGAATGTACACCCCTTATGACATACATGTGTGTCCATTTGGATGTGTTCTCTCCTTACCCTCGCATGGATTCGGGTGACTAAATGTCAGTGTCCATATTCTTTGAGCACCTAAACTTAGGCTGCAGTTTAACGATTTGCTTTCTGCTTTGACTTGACATTACTATGTCTAATAGCACAAGTAAATGACATCACGTTATGTTCTCATGATCTGGAGTGATGCTTTTACCACTTGAACCATTCTACCAGCCCTCAGCATTGTGAAATCATGGGCTGTACCTTTTTTTTTTTTTTTTTGTGGTATTGGAGTTTGCACTCAGGACAGCCCCAGAGCAATGCTCTTTTATGTATGCAAACCTGGGAACCTGCTTCCTTGGTCTAAGCATCTCCCTTCTGAGCCATCTCCTTAATTTGCCCATATTTGGCAGGTAGATCAAAGGAACGCTTAAACCTCTCTTCAGCTGTCCGTTGAGTTGTTAACTTTCTGTTGTCCTCTGTTGGTATAAATATAACATTACTATTTCTGTCACTTCTTTTTTTCAGGCTTTAAATGGCTAAACCAAAAAAAGTCATCCCTGTAAGTTTTGGGAAGGCAAAATTGTTTTAAGCTTGAGGTAAAATTATTTGCATCTATTGACAGACAATGTGGAGCTTATACTGAAAACAATCAATAACCAGCACAGTATTGAGAGTCAAGACAATGACCAGCCAGACTATGACAGTGTAGCATCAGATGAAGACACAGATTTGGAAACCTCAGGAAGCAAGGCAAACCGGCAGAAGGTGAGAGGACATTCTTTACATGAAAGGACAGATGTGTTTCTCTTAAAACTCCTTCTGCAGAATTTCCCTGTCACATTCTTGAAGGCTGGTCCTACAAAGGGCATAGTAGTGGTAAGGTTGAGTTCACTGCTAGCTCAGACCAAACAAAAATGGAAGAAGGTAATTTGCCGTGAGGCAAGTGCAGAGTCACAGCCCTGCTGCTGTCATAACTGTAAAGCTTTCGAGGTATGAGTAGAGGGTTTTATTCACTCAGCAAGTGTTTATTAAGCGACTTCCCTGGCTAACTTTCCTTAGGATGTCATTGCTTGGAGGGAGGGACAACTGCAGTGAACGGCACAAAGCAGTATGTATAAAAGCGTAAGCAGAAGGCAAGGGAGTAGAGGAGAGAACTTAGTCCCGAGAAGCACTTGAGGAAGCTTTGTAAATGGGCAGCTCTTGCGATAGGCCTTGAAGGACCTGTGGGCTTTACAGGACAGGGCAGGACCATCTGGAGAGAGAGAGAAAACCCAGGGCCTCTGGAGGGACGCAGGTCATGGTAGCCTAAAAGAGTGTGACTAAAGCTGCAAAGGGAGGAACATGATACACACTGGAGAACCAAAGCATCAGAGCAGTGCGGAGCCCAGAGCTTTAGGCAGGGTGGGAGGGCACAGGTCAAAGGGTGGAGGGAGGGGCCCTGGTTAGGATGCTCCAGAGGAGATCCAGACACACTGACATGAGCTGCCTCAAGGCCTGGGCTAGAGGGGTTCAATGGGGGGAGATTCTGGGGCACAGGAGACAGGGAATGAGCAGAGAATGAGCAGGGGACAGGGCCACAGAGTCCTGGGTTGTTCACCTGCTGCTAAATAGCTAGGACTGGCCCACAGAGTGCTCCACAGCCCCTGATAATGGATGAGCAGGAAGGTAGACCACAGAGGTCTGGAGGTGTTAAGCAGGGAAATGGACTTTAGATGTGTCCAGAGTTTGCCACCTTACATGACTGTGAGAATGGTGGTGCTGTTGGCAGATGGAGGGAACTTCCTGCCTGGACTGCCAGAAACTGCCCAATCCACTCAGAGAAAGTTGAGACCATTATGGGACCTTCTGTTGACTGACCTCACTCCTGACTTCCCCTTTGTATACCTGCTCCCTCTAGCTGAGTTCTGCTGCCAACTGCAACATTTCTTCATCCAGGCGCCATCTGACTGATCTCATCTCCTCAGGCTACACTCATAGTTCACTCTAGCTCCCTAACATGCAGCCCACCTGGATCCCTACTTCAGCTCCCATACTCCTGCCCTGCTCCATCATATCTGTTTCTGCATAACTAATTGCCTTACCTTCAATCATATTGTCTATATACTTATTTTTATTTGTCCCTCTCTCATGCTGATGAGATATAATCACCATGGAAGTAGGAATCTTTGTTTTATTCTCTGATACATCCCATGCACCTGGAAATTGCCTAATGCTCAACAAAAATGTTGGAATGAATGAACTAATGAAAGAATGAATAAAAAAAGAAAAATGAGCAAGAAAAGACGTGCAAGACAGGACAAACCTCCCCAGACAGTCATTAGCAGCATAGGTTTGTAACCCCAGTGCCTGCTCCATTAGAAAATAATCAACTTTAAAAAGTTTTAAATAATATAGTGACCCTACTTTTATGTTTCAGTTTTTCATTACTCTCAGAAGCCTTGATTTGGTTTAAATTTGTGATTCAACTGGCATAACCAGAATTTTAAATTCTTTAGCTGTTGGTCTTTAACATTATCATCATCTCAGATTGTGAACATTTTCCCCAATTTATTTTTAGAGCCTAGATTCAGATTTATCAGATGGACCAGTCACTGTGCAGGAATTTATGGAGGTCAAAAACGCCCTAGTGGCTTCTGAGGCCAAGATACAACAGCTAATGAAGGTGAATAACAACTTGAGTGACGAGCTGAGAATTATGCAGAAAAAGGTAACATGTTAATAAATGCCAGGGTGGTTAACTCTTTAATCCCATAGTATAAGGAAGAATCCCAGGCACCATGTTTGTGGAATGAAAAATAGTTATTGTTACAGTCTTAGAAATCTTGGGACCAAGTTATCTTTTTGGAAGCAGGATGTGTGTGGATATTTGAAATGAAATAGCTCTGTTGAAATAAATCCAGAATGCAGCTAGGGATATAGCGCAGTGGTAAAGTGCTTGCCTAATATGCTCAAGGCTGTGGGTTTGATCCCCAGCACCACACAAAAAAAAAAAAGGGAGAATGATCATGTTTTTGACTGGGGATTCAGCTTAGTGGTAGAGTACATGAGCACAAGGTCTCTAGTATTACAAAAATTTCTACTTTTTTGTAGAAATACCTCCAGAGTAAATTTCCCAAGTAGGAGAAACAGGTAATCTTTGCACTCTCTGTGGTTGCTGGGAACCTGGATGCCACCACATGAATGTGATTCCATTGCTAATTATAAAGAATAATCACACCATGAAGAAGAGTAGTCAAAAGTCCTGGACAAAACTCTGCACTCATCAGCATATAAGCCCTAGCCTACACCGTGCAGGGGTGCTTTCCCTGTTGACATACCCTGCCCCCATACCCTGTAAACCTCCCTCATGTTCCCTCTTATTTGTCACCAGGATAAAACCATTTATCTGTGAAATTCCCCTAGAACAGGGCCTACCACAGGAGGTTCTTAGTAAATAAGAGAACACATTCCAACTATACTAGCAAGAACAGCCCACTAGTAAGAGTTTTATGCATTCGGCATTTTCTCATTCATTCCCTTCTGAGATAATCAGAACTGCATGAATACATTAGTCCCTAAAAGGAATGTCGCCATTAGTAGCAAAGCACATGGTTAAGGAGGATTGTTGTGTAGTTCTTTTATGAGAAGACAAAGGGAAATTGAAGAACTTCAAATGTTGCCCAAGAGTTTGTGGATACTGGTCCCAGCCTTCAGTTCTCTTCAGTAATGAGCTCTTTGGGCTGAGGTATAGCTTTAGTGGTAGAGTGTTGAGAGAGAGCGAGAGAGAGAGAAAGATTGAGAGAGAGAGATTGATTCCCTAAGAAGAAACAAAATACCCTCTGTAATCTGTGTTTTTTATGCTGCCATGTAATGTTTCACAGACTCAGTTTTAAGACTTGGGCATGAAACTTATTTCAGTGCTGCTTCCTAAAGGGAGCCCAAAGAACTAAACTCTGTTTGCTAGGGAATTAAATTGTGTGTACCTTCACTGTGGTTTGGTCTAGGATTCTAGTGGTGTACAGTTATAGGTCATCTTTTGAGAATTTTTTAGCTCATTGACTCTTAACTATAATGCAGGGGACAAGAATCCTGCCAATCATTCAGCTTTTAAACAGACACTTGCTCTGGGCTTGCCAGCCCCATATACAGCTGGTTTGCAGTCATGACCAAGGCAGACCAAAAGCCTCTTTGCCATAACATACAGGACTTGTACTTCCTCTGCTTTTTCTGAAGTAGATTTTTGCTTAATGGATTATAGTTTGTCCCATTAATCAGACTAATAAATTTTTGAAGTGATTTTTTTCCTCTGAAACATGCTGACATTCCTTTGTAAGCCAGTCTGCCAAACATCACCTTTTTGTTCTATAGCACTGCTTTGAGTACTGGCAGCAGTCACCAGCGGTGACCTTGTAGCTCTGACAGCAAGCATCTTGAGCTTCTTTAAGAGATGCGTAGAGCACCTGCCTAGCAAGCACAACACCCTGAGTTCAAACCCCACTTCCACCAAAAAAGGAAAAGAGAAAGAGAGAAATGCAAAGTGAAGGGCTAGCCTCTCGAAAAGTGGAGATTGGTTAGATTGAGGTTAGAGGGCAGCAGGCAGGGAGATAGCAAGACCCTATCTCAACAAATAATCTGGGCGTGGTGGTACAGGTCTATAATCCCAGCTAGGTGGGAGGCATAACTAAGAGGAACGCAGTCCAAGGCTAGTCAGGGCAGGAGTATGAGAGGCTGTCTGAAAAATAAACTTAAAACAAAAAGGGCTAGAGCTGTGGTTCAAGTAGTAGAGTGTTTGCCTAGCAATGGAAGGCCCTGAGTTCAATGCCCAAAACTACCAGAAAAAAAAAGAAAAGAAATGCAGAGTGATATTGTCATTGCTCGTCTTTAAATTCCTAGAAATGCCTTGATTTCTGAAACTATTATCTGTAACTTTTTCTTTCTTGCCATACTCCTTCCAAACAAGAAAATGTAGCCTGGTTCTTATTAAGATAAGCAGCATCATTAAAATTTATCCAAGGACATCTCTGTAAATGCAGAGTACTAAAATTTTTTAAAGTTGAAACCAGGAACTGCTCATCTCAAAACACATTCCTGATTTCAAGGCCTTGTCTGAAAAAACGTAACAGGTTTTTTCCATACACACACAAATACCTGAAGTCCTCCACTGAGAAACTTGAGTCACTTATAGTCCTCATTCTTTGGACCTTGACCATTTCACTGAGGCCATGGGTTCTCCAAAGCATGATTTTTAACAGGCACCTCCTGCCTCTCTAGATCCTGGAATGCAGGAATTTCTCCAGGCTGTTCTCACTTTGCAGCTGTTTCTTTTTACAAGAGTGGGTTGCAGATACAAATTACACCCTGAAATCCTTTGAGGTGTACAAAGCAGTATGTCACTCTCTTTTGGCTTGCCTTCTAGGAGACAGAAGAGGGTGGTCTTTCTGTGCAAAGTGCAGAGAGCACCATGCTTCAACAGAGGTTTAGCACTACTAATGCAAAGGTGTGGAATTTGTTTACATAGCAAAGATGTGTTGATTTTATTTCAAAACTAGATAAAGTTTTTTTTTTATAGAATTGACAAAGTAGCGTGATTTATATCTGATTTTTCACATTTAACAGTTGCTTGGAAAGGATGCTAATTAATGAAGAGGAGCAGCCACTATTGGTGTATTTTTCACAGATCAGTGCTTTATAAAAGTTGAAAGTAACTCCTAACATTGCATGGGTTTGCTATTGGAAAATAAGGATCTCATGGTTGCTTGTGGACTTAAACTTGGCACTGGAAGGGAATTTGGTCAGAGTTTACAGTCTCTGTCAAAGAGTAGACAGCTGAACTCATACTACACCCAGCTTATACAATGGCGTGGAAGATGAAGGCGCACCAGAGAGGAAGGACCTGTGCAGATGGACGCAGTTACTTATGTTTACATTGCCAGATGCTAAAGAGCCCCACGATTCCTTGCTGATCCCTTAACCATGAAGCAGCCTGCATGTGAGGAATGGAAAGAGCATTCAGGGCCTCCAAGTGACAGTGTCTTAACTAAAATGGGGTGGTACCAGGCAGATTAACCCGTTCAAAGCTGATACCACCATGTTCGTGGCTTTTGGGTAACAAAGCCAAAGGAAAGAAAGGCCACATACTCCATCCATGGCCGAAAGAGGACCAGTCACCAGTGGGAAGCAAGTATGTGCTACGTGGAGCATTCCTTCATATGAAGATGCTAACACAGTTCAATAGGTTTCCAGTTCTCTTTGTGATATATCAATATAGCAAACTTACCATAATTCGGTTCCCTCTTATTTTTCTTTCTAAATTGCTGAATTGTTTGGAATATCAAGAGTATTATGTAATAAAAAGTTGCTGGTCATAATTTTTCTTGTTGGCTTTTTGGAAAGCAGTAGGTGATCTGATTTTTCATAGCTGAACTTCACTGTCTTTCTTGCTTTGCAAAGCAACTCTAGTTATCTTTGTGCTGCTTCCATGATGTCTGCTGTCACTCTTGGCATTTGCAAATTGTTCCGGGCTCATTTGAAAAGCAAGTTTCCTCGGTGATGTTTTTTCTTTCAGTAGTTTCAAGCTCTTGCTTGAAACAACCTTAGAATAATCCAGAGTACAGCTTGCCTGCAAACATTTCCTGGCCCACTATGACAAAATTTTAAGTGGTTAGACATTTAGTTTCTTAAATGCCCAAGACTGCAGTTTTCCCACATTCAGAAATTATTTAGCTAGCCTACAAAATGAAGTGAGTTTATTGCTTTTTACTTACTCCAGAAGAAAGAGTTCTTGTTTGTAGTTGCTTTTTTACTTTCAACCCAGCTAGCTGTTACTGTTCTTACTGTTAAGCTAGTAGTTGTATTCTTTTACTTGGTTTTTACTTTGTGTGCTCGCTATGGAAAAACACAGTCCCACTGCCAAACATTTCTTTCAGCTTCAAACACTCCAGTGTGAGAATTCAAGCCTCAGGAAACAGGCCACAACCAATGTATATCAGGTGCAGACTGGTTCTGAGTACCCAGATACTTCCAACCACTCTTCCTTAAAGCGACGTCCATCTGCCCGGGGCAGTAGGCCCATGTCCATGTACGAAACTGGATCAGGTCAGAAACCCTATCTCCCAGTGGGAGAATCGAACCACCCTGAGGAGAGCAGAACGAGACTTCAGCCCTTCCCTGCACACGTAAGTAACACTGCTGGCCTCTCTGCTCTTCATTCTATACAGTCTTGACTCTTCAGTCCCTCTTTCGAATCTGCATCCCTGCTTCTCTGCTTTGCCAAACTGGGCTCCGAGAGTTGCCCTTGTGTTTGCTGTATTAATGTGTCCACAGATGCTTGCAATGTTCCCACAGCACATGGCCACATTGGGGATTCTGGCCCTTACTTGACTCCCACTCTCCTTCTCGACCCGTTTTCATATTGTATTTCCCAGCCAGCCCCTATTAGAAATTTTTGTGTAAAGCTTCCTTCCTTCCCCTCTTCTACAAAGAAGCAAATTATAAAGGTCACTAGAAGTTTCTTCTTCAAGGTAGACATGGTGTGTCCCTTTACAAACTAAAGCTCTTAGAATCTAAGGTGCCCTGTTGACTGCTTGCACGTGAACAAGTAGCCCTTGTGGCCTGCTGTGCAAGGCAAGTTCTGAAAGCTCCAGGCCCCTGCTGTCCACAACACTCAGTGTGCTCCATATCTTCTACCTCCCCTTCCTAGAGGAAGTGTGGCTTTCTCTTCTCATAAAGACGAGGTGTAAGAACTTTGTGTCCACCTTACAAGTGTTGAACTCCAAAGACTGTTCTGAATCAGGGTTCTAACAGTGTTGTTATACAATGGGATGAGTATTGTGTTGCGAGGTTTTCTAAAAGATATGTCTTTTGGATTAATTTATCATAAAAATGTGTTTTAACAAAATGTTGTAGACATTTTTAACTTTATGCACTGCTTTCTTCAGAGTAATATTTATCCTTTCATTTGTCAAAAGTCATTATTTCTTCAAACTATATAAGAATTTAAAAAAATTCTCAGGTAAATGCAAAGTAAAGGCTGTTATCTAGTAAATTAAATCTTAGCTTAATTTTGTCAGACTTGGTGGTGGTAAATTGCAATGTTATGTGTAATTGGAAGACCATTGTTTTCACTTCTCTTTAAGTTGTTTAGGTTTAACACTGCAAGAAAACTGATTTGGTACATTTGGTGTAATGAGAATGCCATTGAACTAAGTGAAAAGAATCTTATTTTTATATAACTGAAAACAAAATTTAGGAAAAGCAACATTAGCTTTCACAGTATATATTTAATTTTAGAAAAATGTAGAACGTAAGGATGTCATATTATTTCAGAAGTTCTGCACTGTAGTAAATATTAGATAGTATGCGTCACTTCATAATAGCTTCACATGTCAGTATTAATCCTGGTTGAAAAACAAATATCGTTTTAGGCTATCCTAAAAATCAGAAAATTGGACAGATATGCTAGGCATTATCTTTTCCCTTATGGAAAAGTAGCCTTTTTAAATTGAGAATAATTTCTGGGGAGATGTTACACCAAAGGATTAAATGTCTTTGGGGCTCTGTCACGGGCTATCATTGAAACTTCAGGACTTACCTTATGCTGTTTTCTAGGACTCTTTTCCTGCAGCCAGGGTAGGCAGGGTTTTGTTTGTTTTGTGTTTTCCCGAACCTGTTTCTCTTTCCCCTTCTAGATTGGGAGGAGTGCGCTTGTGACCTCCTCTTCATCTCTGCCTTCCTTCCCCTCCACACTTTCCTGGTCGAGGGACGAGAGCACCCGAAGGGTTAAGTACACTCTGAATGGTCTGCTCTGGAAGAGGGGCAGTGCTCCTGGGTGCTTTGTGCTTGGACGATGGCCCTCCAGTCCCTGTCTCTCGCTAACTGCCCTCTTGACCTGCATGAGGCAGCGATTCCCTTCTGGTTTCTCACGGCATAATGGGCACGCAGTGCACCTACGTACACGCACGCATATGTGTACAGAGGTGGCCTCCCTTTTGTCTAACTCCACATTGCTCACTTTCACATCACATTTAACAAAGTTCGCAAGTCATCCTAAAGCATTAATTCTGAGCATATTCTCTTCTTAAACAATCAGAAAACTAGGTGGCTGCTGGTTAAATATTGTAATAGGGCAAATCTGCCCAATGTGTTCAGAGCTAGTTATCAGATTAAAATTGTTATATTACAATTTGTTATATTACAAAAAGGTAATACCTTTTTTTTTTAACCACCAACATATTTTATGTTGGCACCATAGTTGATAAACCCTATACCCTGAGTCAGAATTAGCACACTTAGCAGCATTGGAGGGGTACAGGCAGCTGTGAGCATAAAACTGCTCACTTGCATTGGCTGGTCAAACCAAGCCTGCTGGTGTGTGACTTTCATTCTCAAAGGCAGTACATGACCCAGGTAAACTCCTTGAGAAGAGCCAGGCTAAGGTCTTGGGTTTTTGTGTTTGTTTTTGTGGGACTAGGGTTTGAACTCAGAGTTCTTTGGTTATTTTAGAGATGGGGGTCTCACAAACTGTGTGCCTGGGCTGGCCACAAACACTGATCCTCCTATCTCAGCCTCCCAAGGATTACAGGCGTGAGATATTGGTGCTTGGCCTACCTGCCCTTTTTAAGTAGTCTATTTTAAAAATTATGGTATGGTAAAGTTTTCTGAGCAGTCCTGAAGTAATGTTTTTATTACAATGTTCCAGTTAAACTAAAGGACAGCAAAATACTAATGAACTATCTAGTTTGAAATTTTGTTTATAAAAATCGAGTAAAGGCTAGAGATCTGACTGGGGTGGTAGAGCAACTGCCTAGCCAAACTCAAAGCCCCTGAGTTCAAACTTCAGTACTACAGTAAATAAATAAATACATAAATAAATAAATAAATAAAAATTTGTCTGCTGTGAACTTTTGTGGGGATTTATTTATTAGCTTAAAAAATCATTGCAGCTGCTTGCTGAGATGGTTTTATACAAAATCAGCAATGAACTCATTTAAACTGATCAGCCTAGTTGTTCCTGACAGCCTTGTCATGGGTTTCGATTTTTATGGTATGTAGGTATTCAGAGAAAACTGCAAATCTGTTAAACTGAACCAGCACCAGCCTATGAGGTAACTTCTCTATTAACAGCTTTGAGAGAGCAGCACTTATAACCAATAGCTCCTGGCTCTGCATGTTCACAATAATTTTCGTAAAATTATATGCTGGCTGCACTGAAATCCTGTATGCTTTTGTTAGCAAGAATAAAGAACTTGAAGTGCAAGGTAATTGGTTTCCTGGGTTCATCTGTACTTGAAGAACATTTCCTGAGCACTTTTAGTGGGTGTATAAGTTGGTACTCTTCTAAAATGTTAAATGAAGCTTGTACTTTTGATCATGTGGGTAATGTGTTTCATTTGTAATTATTAAACTTATATCAAGGAAGGCAAAAATGTAGAATTTTGGCTGGGCGCCGGTGGCTCACACCTGTAATCCTAGCTACTCAGGAGGCAGAGATCAGGAAGATTGTGGTTTGAAGCCATACCAAGCAAATAGTTCATGAGACCGTATCTCAAAAAACCTTTCACAAAAATAGGGCTGGTGGTGTGGCTCAAAGTGAAAGCCCTGAGTTCAAGTCCCAGTACTGCAAAAAAAAATTTTGCAGGGGGAGGTTGAGTCAGAAGGATAATAAGTTTGCGTCTAGCTTGGGCTACATAGCAAAACCTTGTCTCAAAAAACAACAAGCCATATAATCCTAGCTACTCAGGAGGCAGAGATCAGGAAGATCATACTTCAAAGCCAGCCCTGAGCAAATAGTTTGTGAGACCCTATCTCAAAAAAACCCATCACAAAAAAGGGATATCAGAGAGGCTCAAGTGGTAAGAGCACCTGCTTAGTGAGCATGAGGCCCTGAGTTCAAACCCCAGTGCTGCCAAAAAAGAAAAAGTAGAATTTGGAGGGGTAGTTAATTCTATTTTCTAGATTCCCTCCCCTTATTGGAGTATATTGAATGAACTTTGCAATATGATTATTTGAGTACAATTTTTATTCATTGTTGTGGTTGGTATAATGTATGTAAAGGAAAATAAATGTGAAGATTAGCTAACCATTCCCTGTAGAAAGTAAGAAAGGTTGACAGGATTGGGGTTTTTGTTGTTATTTTGGGATTGTTTATTTGGGGGGTTTTTGTTTGTTTCTGTTTCCCTTTTTTTTTTCCCAGTACTGGGGATTGAACTCAGGGCTTCCACTTTGAGCCCTCCACCAGCCCAATTTTTTATGATAGGGTTTTTCAAGGTAGGGTCTCGTAAACTATTTGCCAGAGCTGGCTTTGAACTGTGATCCCCCTGATCTCTGCCTCCTGAGCAACTAGGATTACAGGCATGAACCACTGGCACCTGGCTGTTTCTGTTTTCTGAGATCATGTTCAGAAGACCTTAGTTTCACTGTTCCCTGCACTGGATATGGTGACTGTCTTCATTCTTCCATCCAGGCTTCTAGTATCCAGTAACCCATTGATTCATTCATAAAGCCAGGTCATAATTGGGCAGCAAGTGAAGCAGAACCTGTTACAGAAGCTTGCTTTATAAACTTCTCATCTGATTCTAAACCCACACATTTAATCATTTGCCAGATGAATGTGAGTGGATAAATAGATATTCATATTAAATTTTCGGAGCCCAAAGCAAGTGTCTTCTGTTAGACTGGGTAGGGACTAAGTAGAGCATCTTAGAGAAACACAAAAGGCCTCAGAGGACAAAGAGAGAGAGAGAGTGAGAGAGACAGAGACAGAGAACATTTGCCCTGGAAGAGGAAAAGAGGGAGACCCTGGGAACGGGAAGCAAAATGTGGCATAACTGAAGAGGCATCCCTACCTTGTGGCTGACCATTACCCATAAGGCCTTCAGAAGGTCAAGCAATCACTTCTCAGCCTTTTGGCTAAGATCAAGTGTAGTATCTGTTCTTATCAGTTTAATATCTGATACATCCTCTATCCGAGGACAATATATTAAGTGGCTTTTTGGAAGCAGGAGATGGAATAGGAGCTTGCTCCGTCCATTCCACACATCGACCTGGTATTGCAGTACTTCCAGGAATGGTGCACCAAAAAAAAAAAAAAAAAAAGGTTAGGCAATGTTATCAGTAAGAGCCAACAATTAAACCTTACGTAGACTTCCTTAAACTTACTTCCTCAAAAATAGTCCTGCTTCTGGATGACAGTCTCTACGTATTTAAACAGAACTCTTCTATTACCATTATATTCCTAGCCACATTTTATTGTGACATCAATAAAACTCCTTAGTTGCATGTTTTGGTTAACCTGGATTCAAGGTATAGAGTGGAAATAGCTCATACTTATATTTTGCAAATCATCAATTTAGGTTTTGAATCAGCTTACACTAATTTCTTTTATATATGAAAAAATTTTCAAACATATAGCTAAAATGAATACTGAGGGGAAATAGTTTTCATTAAATGCTCCAGAACTAATATAGTCGTTCTCAGAAAAATCAGGTCCCCTTCACATTTTGTCACCCTGGGAAGCCCTTTCTTTAGTGATGTTGCCATTTGCCCAAAAAATTTTTAGGGTTCCTCCTTTAAATCTACATCCCATCCCATTTTTGAATTTCTGCAGTTATACCAAACCTTTATATTTTATGGAGTAGATTTTTAGAAATAGACAAAAGTGGTTTGAAATTAAGTGTCCTACTGATTTTAAGTGGGTGAATAACCATTTTAGTTCAAAACAAAATGTCTATAAACTAATAGTTTTCTCTGTGGCTCCTAAAACCTGTCTCTAAAGGTGTTTCCTGTGCTTTGAGCAGCAACAGTCATCAAAGCCCCAGGTATGGAATATTGAGAGACCTGTAAAGAACTTGAGACCTGGGCTCTCAGTTCTCTTTTCTGCAGACTACGTCTTTGGGGTGGGTCAGCCTTTTTGTTTTGTTTTGTTTTGTTTTTTGTATCGTATTCCTTTTTGGCCCTTCATTTTCTAATCTGGTGTTGAACTAGATAATCTGAAGGTAGCCTCCAGCTCTGAATGCCTGTGGTCACTAAGTACTGGCATGTTTCTTATTAACTACATCTCATTGTGTTATAAACTCCATATTCCTTTCAGAACTAAATGAGACAGCCTTGAATGTCTTTGTGTCAGTTTATTAGTTTGTACCAAGGATTTGCTTATGGAGTAGCCACAGAGCTAAGAAGAAAATGGTGCAAAGAAGGAAAGAAAACACTTTTTTGGATCCACTGTGCATATCTTACTAAATTTCCAATAAAGGGTTGGTCCCAGTCCCAGGAGTGCTCTGGGTGTGAAGGTCACATAGCCTCACAGGTAATGCTTCTTTGGGAAGACTCTGAAGAAGTGAAGTGTCCCGTTCTAAACTAATGGAAGCCTCCTTCTCTTTCTTACAGGTTTCCAGGCTAGAGAAGCAGAACAGCACACCCGAGAGTGACTATGACAACACTCCCAACGATGTGGAGCCAGATGATACGGGGTACATGCAGGAAGAGTGTGTTGAGGGATAGGTTATCAAGTACTAGATACCTGGCAGGCCTTCATCACCCTCACCCCTGTTCCTATTTTCAGACTGTGAAGATCTTAAAGTATTTGGTCATATATTCATAACTTACATGCTTTTCAATGCACATTATTGCCAGGGGAGCTTTTTGTCTTTTTACCAGCACATTAGGCCTGTCTATAGATATCTAGTGTGGTTATAGTCAGTCAATACTGCATTGTTAAGTTGGCGTTACCTTACATTCTGCATTTGTACCCCAGCAGTTGGTTCAACCATGGTTGATTTTATAATGTGACACCTTCCTTACTCCAGTTATTGCTTCCCTTTCCCCTCTTCCTTCTATCTATGAGAGCCCTAACTTCCAGCATAGAGTAGAATGAGAAAGACTCCAGGTGAGCTTAGCTGCCAGTTGATGAAGCAGGGCCTAACTAAGAATCTCCTATTAAACAGGATAAAGGAAACCATAAAAATCAGTCTGCTTCTGCACTCAGCTAGTACAAAAGGCATGGCTCCCGGAATCCAAACCAGCTAAAAGGCACCTGGCATAGTTAACCACTTCCTTACTGTTCACAGGTCAAGCCGGAAGGGAAGGCAAAGGAGTGTGGTGTGGCCAGGTGATTGCTCAGTGCCAGACACAGCAGAACCCCACGTGACCCCAAATCCCACACTCCCTAGCACTGAGGATGTCATCCGGAAGACTGAACAGATCACCAAAAACATTCAGGAGCTCCTAAGAGCAGCCCAGGAAAATAAGCATGACAGGTGAGGAGGCTGCAGTGTGCACTGGCAGAATGTGAATTTGTGCTCCAGAAGGGACACTGCAGTTCTCAGTGGGGATTGTTTCTAACTTGCTGACTTTAAAGGAGTTGAAAACTTAGGAACAAACATGTACATTAGATTTTGTTTGTTTGGGTTTTTTTACATGGTATTTTTATTGTGTTATCAAGCTCTCTGAAAATAAATGCTTCTAGAAGTAAAAATACAGTACATTGGGAGCAGGAACAGCCCTAGTTCTCAAGGGAGAAGATAAGCAGCTGCCTCTCAGCTCACAACTGATTCTTCTGGCCACTGTTCTTCCCAGGATTGCCCTCAGCTAGGGACAAGTTTGCTGAGACAGAAGGCATCCTGAGAGGAGCCCGATTACTTATTTCTTATTTGGCTCCCTTGTGCATGCATGTATAGACTTCTAAGGTTCTTTGCCTCAGAACAGAAGCATAGACTGTGCTGTTTCTTCCCATAAGAAAGCGATTGGTTCTGGTTCTAGTTAACCTTTTGTTCTCTGAAAATTCTAGTAAATTGTGAACTGTTCTGCACAACAGTTCTAGTTTCCCACAGTGATCAGAACAGAAGTATTCATAAAATGTTGTTGCGTTGGGTTTGAGAAAGCAGTAATGTGTTCTGTCCCAAGAATGGTCTCATCTATGTATGCCATAGCTTTCCACAGTACGAGTGTGACAGTGTTAAAGTAATCCTTCCTGAGTACTCCCCATTTATCAGCATTTGTTGGCAAAGCTTAAGCTGTCAATAAACTGTTCCTTGTCCCTGGCCCTGACATAAGATATTCAGGGAATACAGCCGTTGCTCCTTTTCGCTTCCATAAAATTCCTCATAACAATGTGTCCATGCCCATGAGTCTCTGTATTCCTGGCGCTGCTGCACCACCCTCCTTGTCTCTACCCTTTTTCTTTTTTATACAGCTCAGACTTCTCCCAGTTCCATTGTTTTCCAGTGCAGAATAGAGGATTAGTTAGTGTTTATGGAAAGACGAAAGGGAGTCTTCATGATGGACTGTTGGAAGCCCCCCAGCCTCCTTTTACAAAAGTCAAGTTGCTGTTTCTCTCCTTTCTTTCCCAGGCATCCTTTTCCTGCCAAGCCTCTGGTGCCTATGTGTTGTGAGCACAGTCACTTTGTTCAGGGCATGGTAGTGAGTGATGCTGTGCCTTTTTGCACAGAGCAAAGTGTTCCATATCTTTCCATAGTACAGGCATGACAGTGTTAAAGCAATCTTGACCCAAGAATAACTCCTTCCCGAGTATTCCCCACTTATCAGTGTGTTCCATTTTCAGTTGCCTCCAGTTCAGAAGTGCTGTGCTGGTGTTTCAAACTAAAAATGAATATGTTGTATATCACTCTGTGAAAATCTGACCAGGCAAGTGGCTCACAGCTATAATCCTAGCTACTTGGGAGGTAGAGATCGAGAGGATGATGGCTCAAGGCCAGCCTGGGCAAAAAGATCTTGAGACCCCCCTTCTCAACCAAAAAGCTAGATTTGGTGACACAGGCCTATCATTACGCATAAAGCATAAATAGGAGGTAGGCCAACCTGGGCTTAAATGCCAAGACCCTATTTTAAAAATAGCTAAAGCAAAAAGGGCTGGGGATGTGGCTCAAGTGGTAGAGCGCTTGCCTAACAAGTGTGAGTTCCTGAGCTCAACCCCCGGTCCATATATATAGATATATATAGATATATATATATATCTATATATATCTATATATATGCCCCGAGGCCATTTCTGGCTTCAACAATTACAAGATGGTGCTTGGTTCAATTTGGAATGCTTTTTTTCCTCATTTTTTAGGATGTACAAATCCTTTCTTTATATCCTCCTTCCCCCTGTGCCAACCCCAGATAGGACCTGTTTTACCTTCCTATTCTCCATTTTTGGAAAAAAAAAAAAAAACATTTTTTATAAGACAGCTATATAGGGAATTTCATTATGACATTTCCATGTATATGTGTATTATAAACCAAATTGGTTCACCCCTTCTATTTTTCTTCTTTCTGCTTTAGTACTCTTCTTATGGTGATGTCAACAGGTTTAAAGATTCTATATTCAAAAAAAATTCTATATTCATTCTTGTATAGAAAGTATATCAACTATATTCACCTTCTTAACTTCCTCCTTTTACCCTCCCTCTCCTGTTAGTGACCTTTTTTTTAATAATATTGCTTATATTTGAATTGAGCCTGTATTCCACATATGAGAGAAAACATGCGGCCTTTGGCTTTCTGGACCTGGCTAAGTAGGAGGGTGAATATGGTGGAAATATGTGCTCATGTATGAAAACAGAAAAGTGAGACCTGTTGAAACTGTTCCAGGAATGGGGGGTGGGGAGATAAAGAGTGATGGAGGGGGTGAGTTCAACTATTATACATTACAAGAACTTTGATAAAAATCATATGTATCCCCAGTGCAGTGCAACAATAATCTTTAAAAAAGAAAAATAAAATTTTAAAAGACAATGAAGAGCCAGGCATGGTGGTTCATGCCTATAATCCCAATTCTTGGGAGGCTGAGGCAAGAGGATCAAGATTTTGAGGCCAGCTTGGAGGCAAAAGACCACTATTCACTTACTACAGAGTAAGACCCTGTCTCAAAAGCACAAAACAAAACAAAAAGATAATGTAAAATATCAGTGTTTGTGATTCTAGGCCACTTTTCTATGTACTAAACACACGGGGTTTTTTTGGTTTTTGTTCTTTTAAGTTAGACCATAACACACATACTGGAAAAAAAAAAGAAAAAGATGTACAAGTCCATTCAGCGTATTTTATGACCTAATCTCTTTAAGACCATGAAAGACTTATGCAGAGATTTTAATCATTAGCTTATGCTTTTGGTTTAAAACTAGATTGGTCTCAGGAATTTACAAATTGTTCAATGTTGTGTCCTGGTTACTTCCACATCCAAGATACTGGATTAAAGCCTTGTCTTTTTTTCTTATTTTTTTCCTCTTGTTGACCCATTGCTTGCACTTGTTTAGGTAGACCTGTAGCCTGTCTGGGCACTTCAAGGCTTGGTCCTGGTTTCCTGAGTCCATAAACTTCCCCTCAGCCCCTGACCTTCTTGCAGCCTGGTCCTGTCTTCTGGGCCTGCAGCCCCACTCCTCACCTGCGATCGGGCGCACGTGCGCACACACACACACACATACACACACACACTCTACATATGCATGTGCGTGCACACACACAGTTCAGGGATTACAACATATTATGCACAAAAGCCTTTTAGAGGAGAGATACCAGGTTGAAGCTGTGAACATGAACTCCTTCTCACAGAGAAGGAATACCTCTCCATTCATCTGCAATGCTTTCTTTGGTGGCTTATCAAAGATTTCCCAAAATAGTTTGCTACCAGTGAACTTTTCAGAAATGACCTAAGGAAAAATTCCTTCCCTGTATACTGGGGGAAAGGGTGAATTGTATTTCTCAAAATGAAACTATACCAGAAATACATAAGACTCTTAGGCATGGTTCTCAGCTGTTGTGATATTAGTAGAAACACTCATGTATGACACAAACGATTGCTATGGATGAGGCTCTTTTCTCTTTCTGAGTGTCTGTGTGACCTGGTGCTAATGTCCCTTCATATCTGCAAGTTCACTTCTTATGTACTGACAGTTTGTTCGTACACCATATATGGTTCTAAATGCTCACAAAGTAAAAGTCAAGATTTCCCATTTGATGGCATTTTTAGATACTATAAGCAATTTTCTTGAACTACAATGGCTTAATTTGAATGTAGGCAATCTTAATTAAAATAGTTTTAATAGTAAATTTCTTGCACAGGTGAAGTACAGAGATTGCTTATAAGTAATATTTATTCAGACACCAACTTCATAGTTTAAAAAATGGAGACAGAATGATTCTTCAAGGGCTTTAAATCTGATGGATGCTAAATCGCAGTTGGTTAAATATATTAGACAAAAATTTTAAAGCACAAACATTGGGTTCTTGTTTAGGACAGACCTAGGTATGTACCCCCAGCACACCAATAATAAATAATTTTTTAAAAGTTCATGGTAATATTTTCTGGCATACTAAAAATGGCTCCGAACATGCTTTTCCCATGTCCCATATCCCTCCCAGGCCATGGGATAATTCTGGACACACAGCCAGGCATGGTAGCAGTGTCATATCTAGGAACTTTCACTTCGTACCTCATCAGTTTGTGACTTTCCCTCTGCACCTTGTAGTACATATTCCTCAGGCTACAAACCTGTAGGAAATCAGCACTATTTGCTGCTTGATACAGTGCTAAACATAATAGTCCTGGGTGAAAGCAAAATCTCAGTTCTTCCCTTTCACCTCAGGAATAGTCAGATCACCATGCATCAGTGGAAAGAGGCTGCCCTAAAAAAGTGGTAGAGTGCTTGCCTAGCAAGCCTGAGGCCCTGAGTTCAAACCCCAGTAATAAAAAAAAAAGAGAGAGAAACAGAGAGTCTGTCTATAAAGGAAGATGTGAATCCGTTGCCTTTCTGCTCTAAGGAGCCAGACTCAGACGCTGATCACCAGGCAGGAGCTCAGCCTTTCTTAAACACCCGTGGGTCTTGGGCATGTCTTCTCTGGGTCATAGATTTCTCATTTAGAAAAAAATGGGTATGACAGTGGTCAGACTTCACAGCCCATGAGGAACATTACAGGGGCTCTTCGGCTGTCTTCTGTGGCGCCTCTGGAGACGGGAAGAAAGGATGAGGACAGGCAAATTCAATGAGCTTTGTTTTCTTAGCGTTTGTCAATATGACAAAGTACTGACGGTGCTAATAGCATTTCATCACAAGCAAGCACATAGTGACTTTACAACTAAGTGGATAAGTGTTTGAACAAATATATGAGGCAGATCACAGTGTTCTCTCTTTACACAGAATAAAGTTTTTAACTCTCCGGCAACTCATATGCATTTGAATGAAAGGTATTTAGAAGTATCCATTGAAACACGTGGGTATTGAAGTGTAGGTCCCAGTTATAATTTTAAGGAATATTTTTCAGTCTTCTATTTTTCACTTTTTGTGGACATTGGCATGGAAGTCCCTGTTTGTTTGTTTGTTTGTTTTTCTTTCTAGAAATTAGGAAGATGAAATATATGAGAACTAAATGACCAACTTAAGGTGTGAATGACTTAATATACTGTTTGGTAGCTTTATCTGGCTAGTATTGTGTTGCTACATTTCATACTTGGAGATTATTTTTATCAGGTTGAATTAAATTTCATGAAACGATGGGAACCCTACTTTATAACCATGTTGCATTCTGTTGCTGCAGAATGCACAGCAGGCAGGTCACAGTTTCAATGCCTGTTTTGGTCCCCAAGAATTCTCTGCCTCAAAAATAGTTTTGATCATCTTTGAATAACCTCTTTGCCATTTTGCAGTTATATTCCGTGCTCAGAGAGGATACACGTAGCTGTTACAGAAATGGCAGCATTGTTCCCCAAAGTAAGTCACTTCCTACTCATTTGCTTTAGATCTTTTTAAATAAACTGCAAGAAATTTCTTTATGACCTTTGTATTATATTAACCTTTCTATACCTTTCTATATAAACAGTCATATAGAGCTTTGGAATACTTCTGTTCTACATGGATATTGATTTTAAGAAGACATGATGTATAAGTCAAGTACTAAAAGGCAAAGAATGAATAGAATAGCCAGGATCCAGTGACTCACGCCTGTAATCCTAGCTACTTGGAAAGCAGAGATCAGGAGGATCACAGTTCAAAGCCAGCCCTGGGCAAATAGTTTACGAGACCCTGTCTCGAAAATACCCATCATAAAATAGGGCTGGCAGAATGGCTCAAGTGGTAGAGCTCCTAAGTGTGAGGCCCTGAGTTCAAACCCCAGTACCCACCAAAAAAAAAAAAAAAAAAGAATAAAATTTTACTGGAAGGTGTTAACCTATACATAAATTAATATTTTTAAAACTACCTCAAAATAGCATATACTACTAAAATTACCATGTATGCCCTTTGACCTTTGAGTCAGGATATATCTTCATCCCTTACATTGTGGGCGGCATCGCTGACAGTGTTTAAAACACCCTCATCAAAAAAGTGCACAACAAAAATACCTCTTGACTGTATGAAACAACTTGAGTTGTATTCAGGAGCTTACTTTTCCTTTGCTGATTGACATCTACCCTGCAGTCCATGGTGAATGGCTGTGTTTTTCTGTTTAGAAACCCAAATCTGACATGGTGAGGACTTCCCTTCGTTTACTGACATCCAGTGCCTACCGGCTCCACTCAGAATGCAAGAAGACCCTCCCAGGAGACCCTGGCTCACCCACAGATGTACAACTGGTCACGCAGCAGGTCATCCAGTGTGCATATGACATTGCCAAAGCTGCCAAACAGCTGGTCACTATCACCACCAAAGAGAATAACAACTAAACTTCAGGGCACTGTCCCTTCTATTTTCTAGGCTTTTTAAAGCCGACTTCAAATTTAGACATGGAACTCTTCAGATTTTTACAAAAACAGACATTTAATGACAATTTAAAACTTTTTAAAAGAAAACTCAGTATTATTTTTGCATGTTTTCTAACAAATTTTCCACTATGTAGCCCACTTGCCTTATTTTGTGCCTGTTTGCCAGTTTAGTTCCTGGTGTTCTGTTTTCAGAGAGTTTTGAGGTCATGATTATATACATCCAAAAGTCGTTTCACTGCTCAAAGTTAAAACTTTTCCATCCCTTAAAGGTCCCTGCCTGTGGGTAAAACCTTAAATGAGATTTTTAGTAAAACATTTTCTTGACATTAAAAAGAAATATATCAACATTATCTGTTCCCTAACAAGCATTGTGCAATAAGTGAATTTTCCTACCTACTGCAAAATCTCTAAGCTTGGGGTATCTCCAAGCATATATGTAGAAAAATGATTTTGCCACTTTCTAAAAACAGTGTAACAACCTATCTTGGGAGGAAACAAGGAATTGTTCATTTGTAACTGTTCTATCATGTTAGTGTCCTGTTAGTCAACTTTTTTATCTTGATTTTCTATCTCTTTATATTTTTACCATTATCTTGAAATCTCCATAGAATGTGATTTAGCATTTGCCCTCCACATCCTGTTCCATTTGGCCATGTTCAGGGTAGAGCACCACCCATCATCTGTCACCCATTGTCAAGGACTCTGCCCAGCTGTCTACCCCAAACCAGACAGTTCATTCAGAACATTGGCAAAGAGAAGAATCAGTCTAACAAGCCATAGCAGATTCTGTACCGCCCATTCTGACATCACTGCCATGAACTGACAAAACCCAGTTACTCTTTTGACCACTTCCAGCATCCTCACATGAGCTGCTTTTTTTGCATGTCTCCTCATCTTGTAAGGACTTCTTCTAAGGTAAGATGCAACCATTTGAGTTACTTTCCGCTTTCAAGAGTCCCTGGATTGGGGATGCACAAAGTCCTGGGTTCCATCCCCAGCACTGCAGGGAAAATAAAAAAGAATTCCTTTAAGTTACTCAAAGGCCCTTTCTTGTTCTGAATGTTAAAAGCACATTCCTACCCCTGCTTACTGCAGCAGTTTTATGTGGGTGTAACTCAGACCTGGTGGAGCAGGTGATGTACGTGAGCAAAGTGAGCCAGGCATATAGCAGAGGCACAAGAAGGGGGAGCTGAAAAGTAAAGTCCCTGGCCCACCCAACAGGGGCAGCAGCTCCCCAACTCCTCTTATGTTGCTGGTGGAAAAATGGGCCTGGGGCAACTAGAGCTTTGAGTTTTTTTCAAGAGACACTGGAAATCCAGACTTTTTGGTGTCAAACCTGTTACAAATGTTGGCAGCCAATTTGTAACTTGTTCACAAAACAGGCATAGGTGAGCTACGGCCACTAGACTGCTGCTCACAGTCTCTGCCAGGGCCCATAAACTGTGCAATGCAAAGGCTGGCTTTCCAAGCAACCAAGAGTTTCCTCTGGTAAACCTGGAACCATACCACCCTCTGCTAAGTTACTATCAGGTCTCTCTTTACCTATAGATCATGACTCCTGGTAGTTATTTGTGAAGAAGTCAGAGTGATCAGAATGCAAGTTGTCTCACTGTGTGCTAACTAAGCCTCATTTCACAGAACTGACTAAGAAATATTTTATAGTTTGACCTGTGCTGTTGTGAAAGTAGCACCACCATAGTATCAGGTTACTAAGTCATGGTGTGTGGATGCTTCTTTCAGGTTTGCTACACTGTGAGTAGCATGGAAAAGGGTCCACACCTCCAGAAGTCTCATCCACTTACCTGTCTGCACAGCACCAAATGCGGCATCACTGCTGGATGCTCAGGAGATGCTTCCTAGAAGGGGGCCTCCTACCTTAAGCTCAAGCACTTGATAAACTTTTCTGCATGTTTCATGGACTTAGCTGCCTTTCCTCGTCCTTGCAAACATGAGCCCTCCTGTCAGGATCCCCAGTGTCCTTGGGAAAGGAAGAGGCCAGGTTCCCTTGGCCTCTTAGGGAAGATAGGCCTCCATAGAGGCTTCTGGGAAGAGAGTTGTCTGCAAGAGATGTTCCCTTGAACACCTGGCACAGAGGACATTGTCTTTGTTCCTCTAGAGAAAGTCAAGGAACATGAGGACCAACAAAGCATATCCAGCACAGTTTGGTCTGTTAACTCAGTGCCAAACCTTGGGCAGAAGTTCCCAAGTGGAGTGACAGGTAGTGGCAGGAGTCCTTCTTTTATGTGCCCTGCACACTGCCATAATATCATCTGAGCTCTCTGCTCCTATTGGTGTATGGCACCTTGTGTGAACATTTGTCCTGGCCACCCTTACACATGGATTCTATAACCTTGGACAAGTCACCTCTGCCTCTGTCAGGCATTTATCTTACCCTTTGTTCTCCATTGTCCCTCTCTGCCAGTATGCCCCACTTCCCCAAAGCTGTTAGGACAGAGATGCACTTTATGAACTGGCCCTGGGCTGAACAGAAGGAAGCAGCTCTACCCCAACCTCCTTTCACTGAAATCCTTTTCCACCTCGGAATGTAGATAGTTCTTACTTGCCAAAGAACAATGAATCAGGCCCAAAGATCAAGTACAGCATTCATGAAATTGGAACTGTGAACGCACAACTCCAGAGCTGCTACACAGTTCCCCAAGCAACTTCACTTGCAGAACCAAGAGTGAAATTAGCATGCTTTTATCCTTGGCAGTACCCATGAGTTTTCCAATAACATTTTCTTTCCTTCCTTTTCCTGGTTCTCCTTACAAAAGAAAATGCTGCATAGGAAAAATAAGAAAGATGCCTTTTATTCAAATGTGTTTATCTGTGTCATTCATTCTGTACTTCTCATTTTTATTGTACATTCTATTCCAGTAACTATTGTACTCTTCTTGTGTTGTAAAATTGTTTTGGAATTTGTGCCTGCTAGTTATGCAATAAACAGGCTCTGTAAGTGTCTTTGTGGTCATGTGCCTACTGCCAGCTGGTTGTATTTTCAGGTACTTGGGGAGGTATGGCAATAGTTCTAATGTAACGTCATCTTTAATGAGAAACAGTATCTAACTTGCTTCCTACCTTGGGGCTGCCAGATTTGCAGTGATGACTAGCTTTGTCTTCCTCTGGACTTGGCACATAGCTTTTTCTTTTTGAGACAGGATCTCACTGTGTAGCCCAGGCTGGCCTTGAACTCTCCATGCTCGTGCCTCTGCCTCCTGAGTGCTGGGATTACAGGCATGTACCCCCATGCCAGCAGCACACAGTTCATAAAAGAAGTCCTACTTGGGATGCTAGTTGCATGTGTCTTATCCTGATGTGTTTTCTCCTTGGTTTTAGTTTTTAGGTCAGCCAAATCTAGCTCAGCACACATACCCTCACCCCTTCCCACAGGTGATTGGATTATGGAATTAGTTCTGGTCTATTTTCACTTTCAGAGAAGGGCCCATTGTGCAGGTACATGCAGGAGCTGGTGTAAATTTACATCCAGGTCTGTCAGGGCAACCTACAGTTACTAGCAGTTGTCCTCTGGAGAGATGACTTGGGTTTCTTCTTCTAGATGGAAGAAGGAAATGTTGGTGTAGGACTTACTCATCTCAGGCAAAACTTCTGAGCAAGACATCTGGGAAAGGGCTGGTGGAGTGACTCAAGCAGTAGAGCACTTACCAAGCAAACGCAAGGCCCTGAGATCAAACCCCTGTACCACCAAAAAAAAAAAAAAAAAAAAACAGCCTGAGAAAGGTGGAACATCCTCACTGTGTGGTCCAGCTTACCTGGGAGGGCCAGGATCAGCAGGCCAAGCCCAGCAGCTCACACCCAGACTACCTCCTGAGCCTTGCAAGGCTTCTGAGAACATCGTAGGCTCACCCAAGTCTCTGGCTCAGCAGCTCAGATGGCCATTTCTAACATTCCAGGGCATACACTTCTGTAGATCACTTTCAGGTCCTTCCCACCACACAGCACCTTGCCTTCTGCTTTTAAACATAGTTTCATAACATGAAATTATCATTTTAGCTACTACTTAACTCTGTCCTGGGCATTGTGCTCAGTTTTTCACATGGATGGCTTCCCTCAGTCCTCAAGACAACCCCATGCAGAAGGAGTGTTTACTTCCATCAGACAGGTAAAGAAACGTACACGAGGAGATAAAGTCTCATGGCTCAGGGAAGAGTCACTGTTACCATAGCGATTTCATCCCTCAGTCTGGCAAGTCATGTACCAAGGCCTCTCAGACAACGTGGCCTCTTAATGATGGGAAATCTGGCAGTGGCAGTAGTGGGCAACATAACAACAGCCCACCTGCTCTAAAGTCCAGTGGGACAGGTGGGAGACTGAGACTGCATAAACAAATAAGTTTCACAGCCCTGTCAGCTTGTACCCCAAAGCCTGGGGTCCCTCCAGCAAAGCCTGGGTCTAGCTCCCTTTTGAGTCACTGCCACCTGGAAGTATTGTCCCAGCTCTTTTGTCTACTGGTTCACACCACCATGAGAGCAGCATTCATGCAGGGGCTGCGCAGTGGCTGCTTCACCATGGAGATGACTTAGTGACCATCTGGGAAAAGATGAACATGTGAGAAGCAGGAACCAGTCCCTCTGATCCATAGACTCTGAAGTACCTCTGCCAGCTGACCTTGGCATTTTCTCTTAGCTGAAAGCCAGTGCTGTCCTTCAGCCCAGCCTAGGTCATTCCAACTGTTTTGCAGGTATGTGTATCAAAGGACAAAACAAGCCTCCAAGGGCAGAACCACTGGAAATGAGAAGGTGGGCATGAACTCTTGCTTCATCCCTCTCCACGCCAGTCCTTTGCTCAACATACCAGAACTCCAACTGCTCCCTCTCTTCCAGGTTCCCAGATGGTTTAGATCTACTCAGAACTTAGTGTGTTTTCTCTCCCAAATGCAGCATCCCTCCAAGGACTCCAGGGCCTCTTCTCTAAAACTCCTCTTCTTGCTCCTTCCCAACATCTTCCTTCCTTGGACTCACCTTCCCCTCTGGTCTTCTCAGGACCTCTTGGCCTTCCCTATCCAAGTGATTACCACTCACCTGGCCTTGGCCTCTTCCCTCGGAGTTGTCCTGTAAGCCCCATCTCACCCAGAACCTTACAAACAGGAAAGTTTTGAAATCTAACTTGGCCTTGCAATTTGCATCTATCAAGCCAAGCATTAACATCTGTCCCCATTTTGCGGGTGAAGAAGCTGAGACTCAGCCTTAAGAGCCCAAGTAGAGGTGGCACAGCTCACAGCAAGGGGCCTGTGCTCTCAAACGTGGGGAGCTACTGGCAAAAGCAGGCATCCGAGATAAGGACAGCAGACCTCCAAGCCAGAAGAGGGTAAGGAATGCCATGACCTTGGCAGGGATAGTGGCAGGGAGCGAGAGGTGGAGCAGAAACTTGATGGTTCCTATCTCCATGTTGCTCTTTTTGGGGAGCATCAGAACAGGGGAGCTAAGATACTGGTGTCTGTCCAGCTGAACCCCGGGGAGGTGTTGCTGCTGGCTGTGGGGCCTCTTCTTGCCCTGGCAGTAGGCGTAAAGGAATAAACCTGGGTGGCACAGTCTGCTCTGTTTGCCAATACTTTATGTTTTGCTACAGCTATTTCTCTTCTGTTTCAAACTGAGGTATTTGGTAGCCCCTGCTCAGACCAAAGACTGGTCTTTCCTGTGGAGCTTGTTGCCAAGTTCAGCTGTGGGAATGATCTGAAGACCACAGATTTCCACAAGCATGTTGACTTAAGGAGCGGTCCTGTGCCTGTGGTGGAAAATAGGTGTGCTCCCTCCAGAACCCAGCACATCTGGTTTAGTGGGGAGGCCCCAACCAAGAGAAAGAAAGCATCTGACTCCATGATGAAGAATGAGACTGAAACCTGAGTCTGTTTGGCTTCCAATTAAAATGGTGACTCCAAGGCAGAGACCCAGTGTATTCACCGCAGACAGGCTATTTCCTACAGCAAGCGTCTTCTTGGCAAGATGATAGGTCCTTCTGAGTTCTGGGCTTTTAGCACTTTGTCTTTCCACATCCTATTCTTCACTCACAAGCAAAGACCTGCGCCCAAGGAGGGTAATCTGGCTGCTATGTAGTGGGTATCAGAACCAGAACACAGGTCCAAGAGGGCCACAGATGCTTGCTCTCACCCCCTTACTGAAATTGGCTGATGTGCAGAATTCTGAAGTGGCCACTACCAGGTAAAGGAACAGAACACAGGCTTCCCTAATACATCTCCATGGGCCTTTTAAACCCTAGACTTTAGTGTAGTTGAGCAAAACCTTGTGCACATCCCTCGGTACATCATAGTTTTGCCTGTGCTTGGACACTAGACACCTTCTGAGACTGGCATTTTGCACTCAGCATAATCCCATTCCAGTGCCCAGAGCCAGGGTTCTGTCAAGGGGAAGTCTGGCAGAGCTGGGTCCTGACAGGAAACTTCCACCCACACTTGGGAATGGGTTCTTAATTTTCCCTACTCAGGATGTGCAATAAATGGTGCCTTAGGGAATAGGAGCTGAAGGTTTACTTCAGACTTACCTTGGAGCTTTATTATCCCTAGTGTTTGCTTTTACTTCATTTTATTTTTTAAATAACATTTCTCCTTGTTTCAAAAGCTATGGATGTGCTCTGTGAAAAAATATAAAAAGTGCCCAAAATGAAAATATCATTTTATCCTGTTAGAAATAACCACAAGGAGCTGGGCACCAGTGGATCATGCCTGTAATCCTATCTACTTGGGAGGCTGAGATTGGGAGGATTGCAGTTTGAGGCAGCCTGGGGGGGGAAGTTAGCAAGACCCTATCTCAAACAATAGCTAGGCATAGTGGCAGTCCATCACAAGCTACATGGGAGGCTGAGATTGGGAGGATAGCAGTTCAGACCAGCTCCAGCAAACAAATTTGCAAGCCCCTCCCCCTCCCCAATCCCAGTGGAAAGAAGCTAGGCATGGCGACATGCCTGTTACCCAGCGACATTGGGAAGCATAAAACAGAAGGATCACAGTCCAGGCCGACCTTGGCAAAAAGAAAAAAAGAGACCGTATCTCCAGAAATAACCAGAGCAAAAAGAGCTGGAGGCATAGTTCAAGCAGTAGAGTGCCTCCATGGCAAGCATGAAGCCTGAGTTCAAACCCCAGTACTGCAGAAAGAAAAAGGGAGATAAAACAACCCACAAGGTAGCAGTGTTTCCCTCACATTGGAATTATGTAATTACTGCTTCTAAACCTAACCCAGCAGAAATGTCTCTTCAGAACTTAGGCTTTAAAGCTCCCAATTCATTACAAGTTTTGGGTTTGGTGGGACTGGGGATTAAACTCAGGGCTTCATGCTCTCTATCACTTGAGCCACACCTCCAGTCCATTTTGCTCTGGTTATTTTGGAGATGGAGTCTTACAAACTATTTGCCTGGGGTGGCCTCAAACCATGATCTCCCTATCTCAGCCTCCCAAGTAGCTAAGATTACAGACATGAGCCACCAGCACCCAGCACCATTCCATTTTAATGCATGCAAAACATCCCAAACGTGGCCTTCTGGGTTGGGCATCTAGGTTAGCAGGCGGTGACCATAACCAGGTTTGTGAACAGAATCTTTGCAGCAGGCTGTTTTCGCTGCTTCCTGGACTTCTGGAGGACCAGTTACTTCAGGGCCTCAGAGGCCACAGGATTGGGTCTTAGTCCCATGTGCCAAGGGAGGCTGAAGAAGGCTGGTGACTCGTTCCAGTTATGTGTTTGTAAAAGACCTTTTAGTGCAGCATGAGGAAAAGATGGTGGTGGTCATGAGCAACAGTGGTGAGGCAGCAGAGGATTCCGGGACTCCAGGTGCATAGAAGACTCAGCTCTACATTTATAGCTGTGCAGCTGGCAGGACAGATGGTGGCGCTGTTCACTTGTCTGAGAGTGCAGGAGGAGAGGGCCAGATGAACGGGGCTGACTGGGCAGTACTGGGGTTTGAACTTAAGACATGCACTTCCTAGACAGCAGACTTCTCACTTGAGCCAGGCCACAGCCCTTTATTCCTCTTATTTTCACACAGTCTGTTTTTGCCCTGGCCAGCCTCAGACTGCAATCCTCCTACCTGTAGACTCCTACATAGCTGGGATCCCAGACATACACCCAGCATACCTAGTTTATTGATTGAAATGGGGTCTTGCTAACTTTTTGCCCAAGTTGGCTTTAAACTGCAATCCCCCCAAGTAGCTGGGATTAACAGGCATGAGCCATTGTACCCGCCTGGATTTCTGGATTTTTATGACGGGAGTCTGGGCTTATCTGATGAGTGCTGGCTGTGTGACTTAAGGTGCCTTTGGGACACAGGGAGGTGGCACCATGGTGAGGGTGTACAGCTACAGTCCCAGGAGATACTGACGTGGAGATGGTACTGGAAGCCAAAGGCCTAGATCATGTCACCTGGGAGGAACTAGGAGGTAGAGAGGCCTAGGCCTAAAGAGCTGGCATGCTTCAGGTTATAACTGGTAGAGGCCAAAGTAACTGCAAGAGTGACCAGAGAAGCCCATTTATATCAGCAACCCAGAAAGATCCAGAAACATCTGTAAATTGGAAGCCAGAGCTTTTGGTATGGCCAGTTAGGTCCAGATACTCAGTTTTTCTCCGGATCCACAAGTGAGTGGGGTGAACTACAGTACTACAGGGCTCAGGGATGGCTTAGCTGATTAAAGTAATATGAGGAAAAAATGCTAGAGCAGCATAAAGGCAGTCTCACGCCTTCAAACAAGGCTTTCCATCATTCTCAGGATGCTGTAATGTTGGAAGAGTCCCTTTTTTAACTCTCGAGAGTATCTTCAATGTGTGCACTACAAGTGATGTGCAATAGGTTAGAAAAAGACATTTTAATAAGAAAAAACTGGAAACCAAACAAATGAAAATGAATAACGAAGTACTATATTTGCACAATCAACTGTGTAGAGTGAAAATATAGAAACTGCAGCAACATGTTTAAAAAAATCACAACATGCATGAATCCTTTCAAGTAGACTTTATGGAAGTGGTAACATTAGGCCATAAAGTAAATCCCCCTCTAAAATGAAGACACTGCAGCATCACACACCCTAAAATCAAGTTCCACGTGGTTTCATGGCTGAGTTTAGTCAAAGTCACTGAGCTAATGCGAGTTTTTAAAGGTATTACAATGGTCTTTAAAATGATGCTGTGTAATTTATAAACATGAAAACCACCTAACAACCAGGCGGTTGTTAAAAACAAATGCTCCTATCAATAAAGAAATATGGTTGTGCTGACTATATTGCACAACTGAATTCTTTAGCCCCATAAGTGAGAACTGGCTCTGTGCCTACAGTGACACCTGCTCATCCCTGGGTCTGATTCCATTATCTGACTCCTGTCAGTGTTCTTGTTTAGGCTTGTAACTCCCCAGGCCTTGTACTACCTTTCCTAGAGAGAATGTATGCTGAGTGAGCAGCAAAGAAAGAGAAAAGGCCATGGTTTATGTAGTAACTCAGAATTATTTCATATTAACAGTGGCTTCAACACCATCTGTATTCAAGGAATTGACCTTTTAAAAGAATCTGCTGAAGAAAAATCTAGAAATCATTAAGTAGAAAAAGGCATTTAGAAACAATAAAACCAATATACAGTCATGTACTACATAATGCTGATTCATCAGTAAGGGATTACATACGCAAGGGCACATCATCCATACAGGTGACCATCTCACCCATGCAGGGCTGAAATGGGCTGTATCATCTTAATTTGTACAATAATGAAACCGCACAAAATGTTTCTCACAAGGCATCCTTGTCATTAGGCAGTGTGACTTACGTATTTCCAGCTACAATAATCAAATACATATCCAAGGTATATGAGCTACGATAGAAATATTAAGACAGGGGCTGGACTTGTAGCTCAAGAACACCTGCTGACTAACCACAAGGCTGAGTTCTAACCCTGGTATGGCCAAAAATAAAGGAGAGACGGACAGTAAGACAGTGCAAGCTCTGAATTTAAGTATTTTGGCCCAGTTGAAAGAAGAAATGGGGGCTGGGCATGGTGAAACACACTTGTAATTCCAGCATTCCGGTGGCTAAAGCAGGAGGATCTCTATTTAGAGACCACCCTGGGCAACACATACATAGCTAGTTCCAGGCCAGCATGAGCCAGTGAGACCACAGAGAAGGAAGGAAGAAAGGGAGAGAGAGAGAGAGAGGGAAGGAGGGAGAGAGGGAGGGAGAAAAAAGAAAAGAAAAAGAAACATTTAAATATAGTAAGGTAGAGTGCCACTGTAACATAATTTTAATGCTAGTTAAGATTACTACCAGGCTTTAAAAATTTTGAAAATATTTATTCAGTAAATATCTGAGCGCCTATTTGCCAGGCATTCTGTCCACATTGGTTCTATACTGGAGTTCAGTGTATGATTATTAACATTTTTCTGTGGTTTTGTGGAAATAAAAGGGAAAGAGCATCACTTTCACAATAAAAATTAACATATCCTGAGTCAGTAAAAATCTACCCTACCGTCCCACCCTTGCAGCAATAAATCAGAGCAGTAATAACAAGACTTGGATGTGATACCAAAGCAGAACTTTATTTCACAATTAATGAACACGTGAAATGGAGAAATAAACATGAGCAGAAATAATGAAAGTGGTACTCAAGGGATCATAGCTGAAGAACTCCAAGACAGGAAAATGAAAAACTGATTAAGGATGCAGTTTGCAGCTCAATTTGTTTTTTTACAGCATGATGGAAGAGAAAATATAGCTCTTACTCTCAAGATTTTTTTAATAAATCCTGGTTTTTAATAACCACAGAAAAATGTCCTGTAATTAGCTGTAATTTACTGAGATATGGAATCTTGGGCACAATGTAATGAAGATAAACCTCAGAGGAAGATTATGGAAAGGATACAATAAAAATATGATCATTGCTACAAGGAACTGTAGAAATGAATCAGGAACTATGTCACATTTATGTAATAGTGGAGAAACGTGGAACTGATGCATGGTTCTGAGTGATCCGATTTCTTCTTGTTCAACTAGTTCCTCTGGGCACCTAAGTTATAGTATGCTGCATACCTTCCCAAGGTAAGCAGACCTTCCCAAGACACTAGAGGTCCCTAGTGTCATGCTCTGGCCTTTAAAAGACTAACCAACCAGGTACCTTTTAAGGGACCACATATCATATAGATCACTTCTCCATGTATAATGCTCCATGGAATTTTTTGGGTTTTTTGCAATGCTAGGGCTTGTACCAGAGCTTCACATGTGCTAGGCAAGTGCTCTCCCACTGAGCTACATCTCAGCCCCATTATGGAAATGCTAACAAAATATTTCTCACCACCTTTCCAGAAAGCATCCATCAGACTGCTTGAGGGTTCTAATTTGTTCTTAGTGTCTTCCAAAATATAGATGTGACCCTTTGGGACTACGTTAATAAACCTTGAAGCAACTACACCAACACTGTTTATTCTCAATAGTTGAATTTAAATGGAAATTTTAAAAACTGAAAAACTTCCCTATCTCTAGCTAGGGTCTTCATGAGAGGTTGACAATAATAGGTGAGACAAGAGGAAACCATGTATCTGTCATAGAAAACAACTTGTAGTTCTTAGTGTCCATCTAGACTCTCACGTTATTTATAAACACAAGACTTACTTGACAGTATTGTAACCTCAAGCCTATAAGAGACCTGTCTTAGATGAGAAAGGCAGGAAAGGGCCTCTCACTGGGTGCTGCATGCCCACAACACCTTGGCGTGTGGCCAGGCCTGGAGGTGCTTGATCACATACCTGAACAGGCACGGCTGAATTACCTGACAGTGCCCTAAACCCCGACCAGAACCAAGCACTGTACTGTACAACTGTGTGGCTGTGTACCAGAGGAATCAGCATCCTTCTCTGTGCTGATGGCACCAACAAGGTCAGTCCCACGCAATTTTGGGATGTCCATAAGGCTGAGAAAAGAAATAAGACTAATAAGATCAGCAATCTCTGGAATACTGGGAGTTAGCCTCACTTTAAGAGAGCTAAAAGTACATCACATAGGACAGTTTTCATATACAACTGAGAAAGCCTTGGCCGAGGCCAAAAACAAAGCACTTGCCCTACGAAACTTCTCTGGTCTGCTCTGTAAAACCCTCATCCTGAGACACCCGTTCATCCACTCTCAAGCAACTTTGGAAAATGCTGTTACCTGTGCTAAGGAACACCCTCTGCAGGCTAGGGTGCTAAAGTTCTCCAGCATATGTAGGAGCTGCTCTAACCTTGCTCCACTCAGTTCCCCAGATACCTGACCAGGAAGCAGGCAGCCCTCTTTTCTCTGTAGCACAAATCCCAGGGAGTGCATCTGAGAGTGCCAGGGGCTCAGGAATCCCTGGGTAAAGCTGGGCAGAGGCCCTCAGTCAGGTTCCAGGGATCTTTGGTCTCTAGCTCCCTCAGAAAACTTTGTTTTTCTGTGTTTTCTGGTGCCCTCCTCAGGGTCACTGAAGTACTTCCAGAGACAGGGACAGAAAGATGCACAGAAAGAAGAGGCATATAAGCAGCCTCAATCTGGCCACCTGGCTTCGCTGAGTAGATGGGACCTAGCCCCAACTGTCACCTCTCACCAGCTGTGACTGTAGCTCCTCTTAGATTGTGCTTTGTCCCTAACAGGGTGAACAAGCACAGAGCTCAGCAGTCAGGACTTCAGTCTGGGCTCCAGCGGCAGGAGCCAGAGCAAAACCATCTCAAGGACTATTTGAAACCCAACAAGGATTAAACCAGATCCTGTGTCAAGGCTGCCTCCCAGTCTGAAAAGGAAGAAATGCAAGTGAAGAGAAGCCGAGAGAGCACAGCCAAGCACAGACCTGTGGTGGTCTGTCACCTTGCAGGCTCCTACCTTTGGCTGGTAGCCCTGCTCGGCCATAGTCTTTGCCTCCTGCTGCAGTAGAGCCTCAGATAGCTGCTCTGCCTGCCTGGCCTCCTCATCTTCCTCCTCCGCCCGCTCGTCTGCTTCCCATACCTGCAGCTGGCGCTCTGCGACCTGCACACCAAGAACAAGGTCACTAGAGATGAAGCCCTTTGGGCACAGCCCCACCTCTGAGCTGGAAGAAAGCTTGTGATCCTAGCTGGGATGAAGGATCAGAGCCAGGAACAGCGATGGCAGGTACCAGCAAACGGGAAGGAACTTGGGAACTGCCGAAGGCCATGTGGGTGACGCTATGGGCCTTGTAAAAGCTCCAGATATGGCCCTGTATTTGGAGGGACATTCACCATTATGCAGCAGGTAGAACTGAATACACAGAGATTTGTGGCTCAGTAAACCAACTGCTTACAGATGTAGGTGGCAAAAAGAGAAAACAGTAATGTCAGCCTGACGCCCACAGAGATGAGGGCACTTGAAATGGAGTCTGAACCAAAATTAAGAGGGTCAGGGATGCCACTGGACTCTCAGACATGAGTGAAGATGCAAAAACTGCCGTGGGGCCTGCTGCCTGCAAGCTCCTATCCCCCTGCAGGGGCCTCCTCTGCCCTCAGGCTCAGCCCCACCTGGGCTTCCAGCTCCTGCTTCCTAGCCAACTTCAGTTCTTCCCTCTCTTCTTTTGCACAGCGGGCCAACTCCCTTGCCTCCTCGAGACGCTGAAGGAGTTGCTCCCTGTGTTGTAAGGACTCCTCCTGTGCCTGCCTGTTCTGTTCAATCTTTTCTTGTATCTGCTGTTGCCGTCCCGTCAGAACCTATTTCAGCCGAGAGGAAAGGAAAAGTTTTCATTTCAATCTAACAGATGCCTGCCAGACACCTGCTGGGTTTTGTGTCCTGGACCACAGCCTTAGTGCACAGGCAGGTAGGGTCAGTCAGTCAACATACTCACAGCCTCCACCCACCCGACACATACAGAATTCAGCTATGTGTTATGGGGAGGCAGTTGAGTATAGAGGAGCCCTCTCCACAGGGGCAGAGATTACAGAAACATGGTGAGAATCACCCCACCAGTGGGCTCTGGGAAGAGAAAACACAAGCCACACAAAAGAGGCTTAAACTTTTAGATTTTAGATTTAAATTTTAAATTTAGATTTTAGATTTAAATCTACTGCTCTGAGCAGTAGAAACTCGCTGTTTGGGACTTCCCCCAAGAGTACTGTGATGTTCCATCACCAGTCTGGGACCAATCTAGACCACAGCCAGGACTCAGGAGCCAGGAAACCCCAGACATACCCAACAGCTGTGCTCTCAGGAAGGAGCACAAACATGGAAGAAATGTAAATGGAGAGAGCAAAAAGCCACTGGAGAATATCTGGTATTCACTAGAGTGAAAAATCACCAACTGGGACGCGATTTCCTATGGGTTTCAAAATGTAGAATGACTTCTTAGTCTAGTCCGCTTTAAGATCTCGTTCAGTGCAGGGATGGCGCGCTTTAAGATCTCGTTCAGTGCAGGGATGGCGCGCTTTAAGATCTCGTGCAGTGCAGGGATGGCGCGCTTTAAGATCTCGTGCAGTGCAGGATGGCGCGCTTTAAGATCTCGTGCAGTGCAGGGATGGCGCACCTGTTTCCCCAACAGTTTTGCGGTGCTGGGGGTGTGTCTTCTATGTACTCTCTGGTCCGCTCCCTGTTGCCTACCAAGGCACACATTCTCAGAGAGAAGCCTCACACACCAGATGCTCCCAGCAGTGCTTCTTACAAAGGCCCAGTTAGAAACAGATGGAGCGCCCACGCAATGGGATGGAAAAGCAAACCATGATTGAAATCAAAAAGCACACAAAAAAATATATAGGAAAGATGGCAGGCACAGATTGAGAAGAGCAGAAGGAAGTAAAGTAGCAGTTCCTGCAGATGACTTTTACATTTGTACTTCCTACATGTCTGAAGTTCTAATGAGTTTGTATTACTTTTACATTGATTTTAAACCCCAAAACATGTGGCAGGATCGGGATTGACTGCCTATCCAGACATCCACCTGGGCCAATGGCCAGCCCAGTTCCCTGCAGCTGGAATTACCTCGCTCATCAGTCTGTCCCGTGCACTCCGCTCTCGGGCCCACTCTGCCTCTCTCTTTTCCCACATCTCCTTGGCCTCCTCCCTGAAAACAGGAATGACAGGGTTTCCATGCCAGCACCAATGGCAGGGAGTGAGCCAGAGCACATACAGGACTACAAAGCACATGTCTTCTGCCGGGTCAAGCTTCAGGTGAACTCATCCACACAAACTTTATTTAAAGAGTGCAATTAAGGAGAACATTCACAGGAAGCATTTCGATAATTAAGAATTTTACCTTTTTATACTTCATCTCTTTATAAAAAGCAAATTGCTGACTTGCACTGCAGCCATTTAACACTGAGGTGAGTGAAAGCATCATGACCTAGAAGGAAGGTACCTCCTGTGCCTGAGCCTGTCACCACATACCTAGGGTCCCGGCTAGCTCACCCTGAGGCAGGCAAGTGACCTCAAGTTTCCATGTCCCAGTATCTAGCACTTGACTGGATATCAGAATCTAGTAACAGGAGAATTGTAACGCACATAACACAGTGTCTGGCACACAGTAAGTGTTCAACATATGTTGCCAATTATTCCAATATTTCAATCTGAGTTTAACTTTTAGGCCCAAAAGCTGGGCAGAGTGGTGTAGGCCTATAGCTCCAGCTACTTGGGAGGCTAAAGCAAGACCAGCCTGGGCAATATAGTGAGACTCCCACTCACCAAAAAAAAAAAATAGGACCCAGACCCTTTTTTATAGAATCAAGAAACATTCTACATCTCCATAATTGCAGTCTCCTTTCAGATTTCTAAGATGGAACAGGTCGTTACTCTAAGTCATAATGTATAACTTAATGAATAACTTAACAAAAACACCCCTACAAGTCAGAGCAAAGATGTGCTGATAGATGAATTAACAAGGACAGATGTTTCAATAACAAAGAGGGCACTCTTGGTGACCTGGGGGCATTTTGAGGTACCAGAGCAGAAGACAGGTGCCCCCTGCCCAGGCAGCTGCTGCCTCTCACCTCAACAGCATCTGCGTCTCTGCCTCCCGTGCCCTCTCCAACTGCAGCTGCTCCTCAATGACCTCCTTCATCCAGGCTACGTCAGCCAGGGCTTGCTCCCGCCTGGCCAGGTGAACACACTGGGCCTCATCCTCCTTCTCTAGGAGAGCCTGCAGGATCCGCCTGTCTATCTCCTACAGGAAGCAGTACGGCCAGTGAGTAGGCTGCCAGAGTTGTAGTGTGCTAGGCGAGCTCTGCTCCTACAAAGGAAGCTGCCCCTCTGCTCATCCCTCCCTCCACACACGTCATAGATACAGACATCCAGAAGAAGGGAAGATGCTGGACTGTTTCCAGAACAGACTGCCAGTAACCACAGAGGCATGGTTCAGACACCACACAGGCCCAATTTTCTCTGACTAAAGAGAGTGACCACCCTGCCACCACAGACACATGGCCTTGTCTGAGAGCACATGTTAGAACCCAATTTGACAGCGATTCTACTTCTAAAAACACAGACTACAGTGACACACACACACAAACTGCTTATACAGCTGTAATTTAAGTGGGTTGTCCTATACAACCCAAATGCTCATTGGTAAGGTATGTGGGCACAACAGATTGCTGGAGAAGAATCAGGGACACTGTGCTAAGGCGGAAAGCTGCACGCCAGGAACAAGAGTGACACTGCTACCTGATGGTCTGTCCTGACCGGAGTAGAGGCAAGGACGGTTGGGGAAACTCAGATGGTACTCACTCATGAAGGAGCACATTAATGTACCTAACAGGAATACTAAGCAGCTACTGGGGGAAAAGCTAACACGTTGATCTTTATAAAAACTTACAGATGTACTGTTAAATATGGTGAGGAACATAACTTTAAAATATTTAACAAGAACTAAAGGGGGAGAAAAGTCGCCTCTCCATAGGCATGGTTTGTAAGCAGATCTAGAAGAAGATACACCCAAATGGGCATCCCTGGGAGAAGCAGAGACTATGGGAGAATCTCTATGGCAGTTCAAGGAGAATCTCACTTTGTGTTGTTTTGTTTTTTAAATACAAGCTTTAATAAAATGTAACTTGATGCTTTGATATATACACACTATTACAGTCAAACTAATCAACATACATGTCACCCCACAGTCACCTTTTCTTTTTTTTTTTTTTTTGAGAGAGGATCTGGCTATGTACCTCAAGCGGGCCTCAAATGATCCTCTGGCCTCTGCCTCCCAAGTCCTGGGATACAGATGTGCACAACCACGGTTGGCCATAGTTACTTTTTGTGGTGAGAACGCTTAAAAGTCTATTTTCTCAGCAATTTTTTTCTCCTTTTCTTTGTGCTGGGGTTCAAAGCCAGGGCCCCGTGAATGTTAAGCATGTACTTTACCAGTGAATCATACCCCCAGCCCTCCCATTTCATGAAGAAAATTGCATTAGTAACTGTAATCCCCAAATGCATGTTAGATCTCTGGACTTCTCCATCTTATAACTAGAAGTTCATACCCTTTGGCCAACATCTCCCTATTCCTCTGTCCCCCACTTTTGGTTTCAAGTCTTAAGAGAATACACTAAGCAATGGAAAATTTTTTTTTCAAAAAGGCTTGAAAAACCACCTTATCAGTTCAGACTCACCAGTTCCTCTTGAATCTGCTGTGTACGTCTATTGAGTTGTGCGTTATACTGATGTCTCAAAAAGCGCCTAAAAAATGAGTAAACCACAGACAGCTTCAATGCCTCACGCAGAATTAAATGGCTCACTCCAGACCGTATTGTCTACGGCTCCAGGGACCTCGGTGCAAGTCTGAGAAGTAAGAGGCCCACCGCCTGGGAAGACAGGCCTCTCACACGCACCCTAGTTCCGCCTTGCGTAGGAAGGCCGCCATCTGCCTCCTCTCCTCTTCTAGCTTCTCCAGCTCCCACTGCTGCCTCAGAAGATTCTCTTGCTCCTTCTTCAGTTTGGTGGCCTGTGATTACAACAGAAACTGAGACTAGGGCAATCAGATCATCCTCATTCCCTCTCTCCATTTTGGCAGGGACCATTCAGGCATGGCTTGGCTGCTCATGATCCCCTCCATCTCTGAGCCCTTAGCCCAGCTTAACTCATTCATTCATCCCGTCTCAGGTAGGCCATTTCCTACAAGAGCCTTTTCCAGCCCTGTGGACTTCCTGTGCTAGAAAAAGAAGTTAACATCTGTCTTTCTCAGCTGACATGGCAATCATGGTAAGGAAGGCCAGGAGTGAAGGCTTTGTTCAGGCTCTATTTTTAGCATCCAGAATTAATGGAAGACATTGAGAAAGTATCTAGTTATTAAAACATTCAGACCAGGGGAAGGGAAGGGACAGGAGATGAAAGGAGATGGGGCCTCCCCACATCTGAAAGGGAAGACCTAGCCCTCTCAGGAAAACTGATCACCGTGTTCTCGGAAGATAGCCTCCTGAACCAAAAGCTCTTCATGGTTTATATCCTGAGACCCATAAACTGCTCCCAGTGGAGAGCTAAACCATCAACTAAGTCATGTCTGCTTAGTGCACTTGAAAAGTCTTCTAAGAAGACTCTTGAAAGTCTCCAAACCCATCTAAGATGACAGGTATTATCAGGGCATTATTAATATTCTGGAATCTGGGCACAGCGTCAGAGCATGGGAGAACCATGAGAGAGAACGCACGTGAGAAGAGAGGATGCAGCTGTTGGTGCATTTCTCAGCGTCCTCAGCCCTGCTCTGATCTGCTTACAACGGAGGTTTTGTTGTTATTGTTGCTGTGCAGGGGGTTTCACTGTGACATTTACATATGTGTTTACAATGTACCTTAATTAGTCACCCTTTCCTTCATTCCCTCACTCCCCACAATGGAGGCTTTTTTCTTTTTTCTTTTTTGTGGGACTGGGGTTTGAACTCAGGGCTTCATGTATGCTTGATCTACATCTCCAGTCTTTGCTCTAGTTGTTTTGGAGATGAGGTCTTATGAACTATTTGCCCCGGCTGGCCTCGAAACACAATCCTCCCAATCTCAGCCTCCTAAGTAGTTAGGATTACAGGCTTGAGCCACTGGCACCTGGCCACAATGGAGTTTTAATGCCCATTCACCTGAACAAGCAGTGCAGAGCCTGCCCCAGTGGCGATGAGGGCTCACACTCACCTCCATCTCCCTTAACTTCAACTCCTCCATCTGCTGACACAGCGCCTCAGCCTGCAGCTTATTCTCTAGCTGCCGCCTCTCCTCTTCCGCCTTCATCCGCTCCATCGTTTCCCTTCGGGCTGCTTCATATGCATTCTCATACCGCTTGTTTTCCTGCTTTTCGATGGCTTCTTGCTACAAGAGGCCAAGAGAACCTGGGACGTCAATACTGTTACATGCAGCTGCTAGAGACCCAGCTCCCTGCTGCCACTCAGTAGACCATGGGGCCCATTTAGGCTCCGCCTCAGCGGTGACCCCAGGCAAGGGAGCAAAGGGACGGATTCAATGTCAGGTTTCCTAACCCTTCCAAAAGTCAACAGAACACTGCAAATGAACCTGGAGGCAGAGCAACGGAGGCATGGTATGGGCTCTTACCCCAGAGGTGCTATTACACTCAGGGTTGAGTTTATGATACAAATTTCATCAAGAGATTTCAGTGACCAAAAACGCCCTTAAAGGCACATGTTGCACTTACTATCTATCAACCCTAGTCACCTGGCCTCCTTATACTCTGGGATCCCACTATGTGGCAAATAAACTAAGAAAGGGCCTGCTCCTCAGCTGATTCTATAGCATCCAAAACAAGGGACAGTTTCAAAGAGATGGAGATAGTCACACCACTGCCATGTGAGACTAGTTCCAGAGTCACAAACCAACCTGCTTTTTCTCTTCTTTCTGCGTTTCCCAAGAGTCTACCACATGCTTCTGGTGAAGGTCCAACTCAATCTGAGAAGAAGGGGAGACTATTAATTCCCTCATTGGTTCCTGTGATAACTCAGTGGGGACAGTGGCTGCTTTCTGTGCTGTCCATGAGACATGGCCATGAACTTCTCTTCGTGAGGACCCAGGTGCCCAGTAAGGGAGTGTAGGGTGATCCCAACAAACAGTCTGAATGGGGGTCTAGTAGGAAACCAAAGGACCAGGTGCTTCTAAGCCAAGCACGAATGCTAGAACAAAATTACAAAAACTCTTGTCCCAGTGGCCCCGGACTGAGCAGGAAGCACATCAGCCGACACTAAAGTACAGATACAATTTCAAAGGCACCTTTTTGGTCTAAAGTGCCAATCCCCCATAGCCCCAAGAAACAGCTGGATAAGGGACAAACTTCCCGAGTTTGGCTCCCCAACACCTCCTCCATAAAGCAGTATTGGGAAAACATACACCCCCGTGTCAAATGATGCAATAAGCAACTGCAACAAGTCTGGGGTTATCTATAAAAGATGTGGATTCAGAGAATCGTCTGGATCAGAATATGAATCGCAAAAAAAGCTTTGGTCCAAAAGCATTGGTATGGAAAATTGTTCATAAAGTTTAAAACTTCTTTCACATCTAACATGAACATTCATAACTAACCTGAATGGTCTAAATAAGCGTTCTGAGTAAATTACTTTGGAGGACATACACGGCCTGAGAGATGGCCCTGGAGAAATTAGCACTGAGCAAACAATACTCAAAAACACTCATGCTGCATTGCTGAGCAACTGGCAATTTCTAAATACAACTGTGAACACATAAAGTAACAGTACCAATCATGTACGCTATTAAGTGTTCAGGCCTTCCCTGTCCCCAGCTGGGCTGTTGCAGCAGCTCCTCAACTGCCACCTTTTCTGGTTGCCTTGGTACTGTTGTCAGAGGGAGTGCAATGGAGTGCAGCTGGAGTCCCCTGCACACTTGTGAAAGTGTCTGGTGTCCTCCAGTGCCTCCAGGGGACGGCCACACAATGCCATCCAAGGTCTGGTCCTGTCTGTCTCACTAACCTTATCTCTTGGAGCTCCTACCTTCATCCCAGTCTCATCCAACCATTGCGGCTCTCGGGACTCACTCTGTGTTCTCATGCCACAGGTCTGACTCTTCTAATCATCTCTATCTAGAGGGTCCATTCCTTACTCTCTACTGTCAAGTTAAAACTCCATGTCCTTCCAAACTGAGGCCTTCCTCAGGCCACCTCCCCAGCCCCACTGCCAAGGTCCCTGTAGCCTGCACTGGTGTAAGAAGCTCCCTGGCTCCCTAAGAGCAAGGACCGCACCCTAGATAGATGGTGCAGCAGTGATCAATAGGCACTTTTTAACAACTCAACAAACTGCTCAGCCCATCTGCCTCCTTCCTGTTCAACCCAGTACAAGATAAACATGAAAAAAAAATCTGGAAACAGGATGTCATCTGCTCAGGCAAATCAATGGAAGGTTCTTGATTTTTACCTCTCGAAGTTTTGGGTTGTTTTTTTTCCAGTGTTCATACAAAAGTTGTTCAGCAATCTAGCAAAAAAACACAGAAAGGGAAGCCTGTCATTGCTTTTCAAATCCATTCACATTCTGGATGAAGCACAATGAGAATCAGCTCAGGCCCAGAGCTCCTCCACTCAACATACTGTTACTGCACCCGCCATTTAAATCTACTTTCTCTGCACCCTACAGCTCTGGAAGTCAGACATCTGAGCAGAATGGCTGGCACCAACAAATGACTCTTACAGTGGTGACGAAAGGGGGCAAAGTCTGATGCTACAGATAGGTCCCTTCTAAGGGGTTTCCAAATATACAGCAGGCTAGAACAGACTGAAGCTCACTGCTTCACTACTTTGGAAAATAAAATACGCCAATCCCAAACCTTTGAGGAATCATAGAACTGGAATAAGGAAAGAAGATCAGCTGCAATGATTTAAGGGGCTGAAGACAGCTGACTCATACAAAGCACACTTCCTGCACAAGAACTTAAGACTGAGCACCTCCCTGTTAGAAAGTCATCCAGCATCTCATCAGACCAGAGCACCCAGGAATGACCCCAGGCCCAACGCTGACAGGCTGGGGATGCTCTTACTGCACGGAACTTCTTAACTCTATGACAGGTACCAGTTTCCTTTGCTCTTCCCGAGCTGACTTCAGATTCCAATGCTGCTCCCGGATTCTTTTTTCCCGCAAGCTCATGCTCAGCCTGAGCTCTTCCAGCTCCCTGGCCAGCAGGTCCTGCTCTTCCAGCATAAGCTGCCTGAGTCTCTCCCGTCGGGCCTCCAGACTCTTCCTCTTCTCCTCTTTCATCTTTTCACGCTGGTAGGCATGCATACTGAGTGAGAAAAAGCCCACAACACATTAAGTTGCACTACAGCCACAAGTGGTGTACTCCACTCCGCCATTTGACCAAAAGAGGCTAAGGCAGATGCAACAGCGACACAGGAAGGAGATCCCAGCCAAAGTAAAGAAGGCAAGTCATGAGAAAATCTTGCTTCTGCAAAAAAGCCAACAGAACAGGCTTATGTGATAACAGTAACAGCCAATTATCTGAGCAATTACGCTATAGCAGCTACAACGCGCTCAGGAAACTGAGGCTCATTTGTGCAGGAGTACGCCAGCGTTTCCATCTGGGCCTGACTCTAAAGCTTATGCGTTTAACCTCCACATTTTTACAAATAATTCTATAAAAATAGTTTTTGTTTGTGTGTATGTAAGCATAAACACATATGAGGAAAAAGGAATGGAAGGATGTGTACCATTTTGTTAACTGTGTTTCTCTCTGGGAGTGTGAGGTTATAAGGAGGACTGCAGATTCCACCACATGTACTTCTGTATCATTTTTGTCATTTTCAATGAGACTATATTACTTCACTGATGATCTTTTTTCCACTTCCAGGTGGAAAAACATCACAATGCAGGTAATTCACACTGTCAAGCCATATTCCCTAGGCTCTTAAGGCCACATCCCCTAACCAGTAAGTAGCCCCCACCTCCATTCAACTGGCAGTCATTGCACACTCACCTCCGCTGGTGGGAGGTCTTGGAGCTCCATTCTGCCTGTTTGGAACTGCAGATGTTAGACATCCTGAAATAACGGCTGTTCTGTTCCCACTGATGCCGAAGCCGGGCTTCCTGTTCTCGCTGGCGCTGGAGCACTGCCTGCTGATTCAGGAGTCTCTGAGTGCACCAGTAAGAGGGCAGCGTGGGGAGAGCCATCTGAGGGAAACAGCAATGGTAGGAAAATGAGCTACTACAAAGCCAGGAACCCTTGTTTCATTAATGAGTGGCACTCACCCTTTACCTGCACTCTGGAATCACCTGATAGTGCTTCAAGGCCCACATCTGCGCCCCACTGCAGACCAGCTGAATCATAAAAACCTCAGACCGGGGCCCAGGCACCAGCATTTGTAAAATGACTTGACACCAAGGCTGCAAAAATCACCAGTTTAAATAAACCTGGACTGTAGCCAAGGATGGGCCAGTCATTATCAAGGATTGTCCTAGAAATGCTGGACTATGCACACTGGGGACTTTTATGCTTTGCATAGAATAATACAGATAAGCCAGGCACAGTGCTATGCACTAATTAGGAGGCTGTGGCAGGAAGATCATTTGTCCAATAGTTCAACACCAACCTGGGTGACACAGCAAGACCTGATTCAAAAAACAAAGCAAAGTAACAGGGACAATAATTCAAGAACATTAGTATGTTCCAAGCACTTTACATAACCTTTTTCATTTTTACAATCACCCTATTATTCATCAGATGAGGAAATGTCAGACACACAGAAGTGAATGACTTGGCCAGGATCACAAAGCTAGGAAGTAGAGAAAATTAAAAAGTTGGGAACCTAATTTACGACAGTGTGAGGCCAGAGTCCAGGCTCTGTTTACTGCAAGAGACTGCCCATTGGAATCACCAGTCAGCCTTTATAAAGGGGCCAAGACTGGGTGTCACACCTGGAAGTAAGTGTTCTGGGGTGCCATGATGAAGAAACCGAGGTCCAGAGAGAGGAAGCAGGTTGCCCGGGGACAATGCTGGAGCAGTGAAAGCAGACAGCAGTCTGGCTCCCAAAAGGTTCTGGCACGTACGGGATCTACACAGTGCCTGGACAGGAATGTCTGCCGGATGTGCGCACAGGCCTGGGTTCGCATCACGAATCTCGGAGTCCTCCAGGTCCTGGGACCAAATAATCTGCATCAAAGGGTCTGTGCCAAGGTGTGACCTGTGTCTTCGGGCTTTTCCCTTGTCCGTAAAGTCACCAGAGGATAAATCTCTGCACCAGGAGTCAAAAACTTAAGATCCCAGTCCTGGGTCGGCAACCACGCAGGGCTGCTTCCTGTGCAGGCTGCATCCCTCTCTCAGCCTTTACATCCCTACCTGACAAGGGGGGGCTGCAGAGGAAAACGTCGGACCCAGAGCGCAAAGGGAGCAGTGGGGACGGTTCCCCGGCCTGGACTCGCGTCCTCCGACTTCCGCCCAGTTCCCGCCAGCGCAGGGATACCGGTGGCAAAGCCCTGTGGTCGGGTTCCTAATACGAGCCCACCCGGCCAAGCCCAACTCCGGACTCACGTTTCTCTGCTTTCCGGCAACGACCCGCGCTCCCGCTGCGACCAGGCTCGTTCCGGCCCGCGCGGTTCCTCCCCGCCCGCGCAGCAGTGACGCCGGCCGTTTCCCCACTCGTTGCCTGGGCAACTGGAGCGACTACGGAGCGCCTAGAGGGCCCAGCTACCTCCAGCGCGATTCCTGGAAGCGCACGAGATTAAAAAAAGATTGCGGTGTTTCTGGCGCCCCTGGTGGTGGGCGGGAGATCGGTCCCAAAGGTCTGTAGTCCTTGAAATGGGGAAGGAAGGAGAATGCACGTGGTTACCTGCGGAGATGAAAGTGAAGAGGGGAGGCAGAAATTCGAGCAATTAGGATAGAGGGGAGAATATAAACCAGTGGTTCTCAAACATGGCTACACATGAGAATCACCTGGAGAGCTTCTAAAAACCCAGATGCTGGAGCTTTACCAGGAGCTGTAAGTGTAGACAGTTTGAAATAGGTATGAGTGATTTCAGTGATAAATTGACAAGACCTGCGACAGAAGATGACCAGGTGGAAACTTCTGTGATGTCTGGCAGAGGAATGCATTTTCCTTGGATTCAAAAGTAGTTAGGAACTGTAGTGATTGGAGGGAAAAAGGAGAAGCATTTTACTCAGACAACAAGTGCTTGCTTAAGTTTTATCCAAGAAGCTCTGCTAAAGCACCAATGGCAGCTGCAGAATGCATGCACAGTTATTTGCAAATCTTGGAAGATTCAGACAGCTACAAAAAACAGGCTGCACCGGGGTAAACAGTATGAGTCTTCTGGAAGAAAAACAGATGCCTGGGAGTTTCTGACTCCAGCCCCACCCAAAATAGTTTGTCAACGTGGAGACTTTCAATACCTTTACTGATCCAATGAAAAAATTGGTGTCTTGAATTATTTAAATATCTCCTTACAACATGCATTGTACCTTCTACATCATGAAATGTTTGAGGATTCAAACAGAAATCTAAGTCCAGCAGAGACATAGTGATACGGTGAGAAGTTGTCTTCTCAGGAAATATTAATCAGTCTTGTTCAGACCTACAAAGAGCTTTTGCAGAATTACACTTGGTCTCAGAAAAAGGTAGAATTGTCAGTGCTTGATGAAGGTGATTATACTTATAGCACAAAAACCCAAAATATGCTCAGCCACAGCTAGAAGACATCTATACAAATTTGTGCATTGGTTAAAATTCCTGGAGTTTTGGACCCTGTAGTGAAGAGTTATGTAGAGATGCTAGAATTCCATGGTGATCAAGATAGAGCCAGAAAGGTTCTCAACAATTATGCATATGTTGAAAAGTTCCCATCGAATCCGAATGCCCATGTCTACTTACCAACTTTCTAAAGAGAAGACACCAACAGCAAAACTTCGAAGTGTACTGAAGATTTTGCATGAACTTGTACCATCTCATAAACTGATGTTAGAATTCTAAAAGTTACTTAGAAAATCAGAAAAAGAAGAACAGTATAAACTAGTTGGGAATGTTATTTTGCATCTTAGATTTTGCTGGATGCACTAAGAACATAACTGCTTGGAAATACTTGGCAAAATATCTGAGACGGATATTAATAGAAAATCATCTTGCATGTTCAAGAAGAGTGGAACTCCAGGAAAAAAATGGTGGCCAATCTTTCACTTCAGCTACTTTTGGGCAAAAAGTGATTGGAAGGAAGATCAAGATTTGGCTTGTAAAAAAGCTTTTATAGCTGCCATACTGTTAGGGAAAGGTTATATATATTTTCAGTATATTTTAAAACAAGATGATCAAGTCTTAAGGAAGAAAGTTAAGAGATCAAGAATTCAGTGAAATAATACAGTATTGTAAGTCCAGAAGTCTGATACTTATTTATTTCACAGTTGTAGCTACAAGAGTCATAGCTCACTAGTTACTGAATGTATTTATTTAATGTCTTATTGCTTGTATAGTTATAAAAATTATTTTTGTGTTGTATTTTCTTTTATTATTTGTCTTTGCCTTTTGTAAATATTGTACATATGTATATTTTTGTAACATTACCTTGTAGTTTTTCTAAGAAATGATTCTTCAAACAAAAAAGTGTTTTAGAGAACAATTGCTCTATAGCAATTATTGTTTACAGATAACTTGCCTCTGTTTTGTAATTAAAAGAAAAAAACCTTTGTGATGCTGGAAAAAAAAAACTGCCTGGCTCAAATCCCATGAGGCTCTCAGAGTATCTATCAGTGGTTTTCAAATTTCCCCAGGTATGTCCAATGTGTAACGGGGTAGAGAACTGCTGGCCATAGTAGTGGTAAGTTATTGGTAACTTTCTGCTATAGCCTTAGATTGGTGGTGGGTTCAAGGGTTTTCATTCCATTATGTTTTATATACATAAGTTACATGTATTTTATATATCAACTATTCCATTAAAAAGAAAGTAACCGGGCGTGGTGGCACACACCTGTAACTCCAAGCACTCCGGAGACTGACGCAGGGGAATGAGAGTTCAAGGCCAGCTTGGGCTACATAGCAAGACCTGCATCAAGAGAGAGAGAGAAGTGGGCCTGGGAAATCTCAGTGTAAGTAGCATGCTTGAAGCCCTGAGTTCAATCCCCAGCACCAAAAACTAATTTAAAAATTTTTAAATTCACTCATTCTCTTTTCTTTCATTTTCCCATTATTTTCTTCTTTCCTTCGTTCCTCCATTCTTCATTTTCCCAGAGGCAATATAATATCCAGCTTCACATCATGGCCTCAGCAGTCAGAATGACCTACATGTTGCTACATTTATGTGTGGTTTGGGGCAGGTCACTTCATCCTTCTGGCCTCAGCTTCCTCAGCTGTTGAAATGAGAATAACAATTGTGGGACTTTCTAGAATTGCCTTTGTGTGAGCAAAGAGCATTTAAGTGGAATGCTCCCAGAATCAGAGTGCCAGGTGCATCCCAGTGCGAAGGCAAACTTTCTTTCACACCTTTCTTGAGTTGGCAGAACTTTACTCAGGAGCTGCTCTGCTCCATGCACAAGAATTGCCCTACCTCCCTTGGCCACACTCCCATGCTATACCCTCAAAGGACAGGGGAGGCAGTCCCCCACTGTGACCATGCTAGCAAGAGCTGCCCACCCAAAGAAGGAACCCAACGTGTGTCTGTTGGCAGACTCCCTGAGTGTTTGGAACTTCAAAAATATGTGAATTGGACTCTAGAGACCTTGCTTCAGGTCCTGATTTTTGTCCCTTGGGCAAGCCACCCTCCACACCTTCCAGGGCTTAGTTTCTTCTAAAACCAGAGAAGTGCCACAGTTGAGACATGGAGGACTTAGGGCTTGGCTGGCCTGCCAGAGGGCAATATGATCCTGAAGGTGCCAGGCTGTGGCTTCTGGGCCTCTTGTACTGTCAGGCGTCTTCACTGCCTCTCCCCAGTTCCACTTTTAACTTCATGATCACACAGCTGCCACCTCATAAGATGCTCATAAGCATCTTTACAAGCCCCCGAACTTTTGCTCCCCGGGGCATCCTGTGAGGTATTTTATTGTATCCATTGTGGCCTAAAATGAGCCTCAGAAAGGCGCCATCATTTACCTGAGGAACCACAGCTGATAGGTGACAGAGTCGGGATTTAAACCAAGGTTACCTGTTTCAAGCCTGTCATGATGTAGCACTGTTGTAGACCCAATGCCTGGCACATGGTAGGCACTCAGTAAACGTGTTGAGGATGAAAAAATAAATGATTTCCTATCTTTGAGCCCCTTCTCCTCTTCCAAAACTAAAAGGGAACAATGGTGTTGAAAGCAAGAAAAAAAGAAAGGACCTAAGCTATCTTGACTACCAGCAGGTGCTTTTAGATATATTACCTTATTTAAGTCCCCCCTCTGACCTGGGTGGTAGGTGGTACTGCCTCTGTTTTTTCAGAGGCTCTGAGGGGCAAAGCAACTTTCTTGAGGTCACGCAGCAAGGACCCTGAGAGCCAGGATTTATACTCACCTCCAGGAGCTCGTGAATCCTTTTATAGCCTGTTTTTCCAGAAGTTTGTAGCTCTTAAAAGAATCCTTCATGGTGTGAAGGTAATTGGATGCAATTGGAGGACATCACGTTAAGTGAAGTGAGCCAGGTTCAGAAAGACAAAAGGCCTCCTGTTTTCGCTGATACGTACATGACAGATCCAAAGATAAACATATACACAAAAACAAGCATGATCCTACACAAACTCAGATGTAGGACAGGTTTGTAACAGTGGAACTGCTCTATGGAACCCAGGGAAGGAGGGAAAGGAAAGAATGATAGAGCATCAATATATCATAATACATAATATCTGTGAAGGTAGAGGAAACAAGGGTATGTACTGAAAGCTGGTGAAAACTGGGGGGTGGGAGGTAAAGGGGTAAGGGAGAGTGATGAAAGGGGTTGAATGGACCAAAGTCAAGTATATTCACAGTGGGGATTTGAGAAATCCCTTTGAACATCAACTGAAATATTAATAACGCAGCACATGACTGTAATATAGGAATAGTGTGAGAGGATACTTATGGGTGGAAGGTGGTTGAAGGAGATTAAGGTGAGAGTATATGGCTGATGGGCTTTATATACTTATATGAAATAGAACAAAGAAACCTCTCATAGGGCTGGTGAAGTGGCTCAAAGTGGTAGAGCAACTGTCTAGCAAGTATGAGGCCCTGAGTTCAAGCTCCAGTACTACCAAAAGAGAGAGAGAGCCAGGCGCCAGTGGCTTACATCTGTAATCCTAGCTACTCAGGAGGCAGAGATCAGGAGGATTGTGGTTCAAAGCCAGCCTAGACAAATAATTTGCAAGACCCTGTCTCAGAAAAAAAACATCACCAAAAAAAAAAAAAGGGGGGGGACTGGTAGAGTGGCTCAAGGTGTAGGCCTTGAGTTCAAGCCCCAGGACCACAAAAGAAAAAAAAAAAAAAAAAGAAACCTTTTGCAATTACTTTAAGTGGGGCAGGGAGGAGGCTGAGGGAGAGAGCAGTGGGGGTGATCTAACCAATGTACAAAATAAATGTATTTGGAATTGTCACAATGAATCCCCCATGTACACGAATATATCTTAATAATAATAATAATAAATCCTTTTTTATATGACCCAGCTGGGCCATATAAAGAAGTCAGCAATATTCAATATTCAGTGACAGGCCAGTGTCAATGGCCCACAGAGGGCTGACAGAAGTCCTGGCAGGCAAGCATGGAGGAGGAGCTGCTCTTCGACTTGTGTCTTTGGGTCTCCTAGCGCAGGAGGACAGGAATGGGGAGTGGGTGAAGCCGTGGGAGCAGCTCTCCACTTGCTGAAATGTGACAGCACTGGAGGCTAGACAATGGCTCACTTAATTAGCAGTGGCATTGCCAAGACATGTTTATCTACACTTGGTTTTTTCAGCATTTCAACATCAACCACGCTGGCTTCTCTCTTCACAGCTAGGCCAGGCAGCACACCCTCCCTGAACACAAGAATGCAAAACAGCTGTGATCAAAGACTGGCTGCCAGAGCTGCCTCTCCAGGCCCAAGCTTTGTGCTGTACTAGTAACCAGAATCAGAAAAAACATAGGTATCCATGGGAAAAGTGTAAGTTCCCTCATAGTACAAAAGGGGGCAAGATTTTCTCAGAGCTTTTAGTTTTACAAAGCTATTTCTGTGTGGTTGCTTCTTCACAGCCTGCATTTCCATCCTGCTTTGTACTGTACAGGTAAGTGCCCTACCTCTTGAGTCACGTCCCAGTCCACCTGCTTTTAGTTTTGTTTTTCAGACAGGGTCTTGGAGTGTTGCCTGGACTGACCTAAGACAGTGATCCTCTTACTTTTACCTCCCACCTCAGAGTAGCTAGGATTTAGACACGAACCACCAAACTTAGACTACCTACAGATTCACAGAAAAACTGCAGAGATAGTACACAGTTTCCACACCCTGATGCCATCTCCCCTGTTATTAATAGCTTCTATACATTATGTGCTTCAGAGGACAGAAATCAGACATGGGTCACCAGAGGTCAAGATCAAGGAGTAAGCAGATTCTTCCTGGGGAAGAGAAGAGGTCCAGTGGGGCTCAGGGTGAGGCTGCTTTATCTTCAAAACCAGGATCAGAAGTACAGCTCTAGCTCTCCCTCAGTAGTCACAGCTCCCTTGACCACAGCTGGGAACCTACCTCTGCTTTTAAGGATTCATGCACTCACTAGGATTATCTAACTACCCTCCCCATCTTAATGTTTTTACCTTAGTCATACCTGCAAAGTGCTTTTGGCCATGTAAGGTGACATAGTCACAGGGTCTGGGGATCAGGAGGCAAATACCTTTGGAGGTCCCTCTTCTGCCTACATCGTGGTTCACTTCAGTTATTGTCCCTCAGTGGTACAGGTATGTTCACCTGTCTGCTGCTCCATCGCTGGCCCTCCAAGCCCCTGCAGAAGCTGGCAGAGAGGATCTGCTCTCACCTACCCAAACATGCTTGGCACATGCTCCCTTTGGCATCTAGAATGACAAGGGACAGAAAGGGCTTTCTGTATGAAAGTTGCAGGCTCTAGGCTACCCTTGGTGGCCTTCTCCAGGTGTGTGGCCAGGACCTGCCACATAATGCTGGCTGCATTTGGAAATCAGTTTAATTCATTAGAACTTGTTCTAACAGGCCAGCTCCTATGTACACTAAACATGGAATTCCATTCCAGAACTTTCTATTCATTCCAGAATCTTCTATTGTAGAATGAGGCCAGCTTTGTGGGAAGGAAGGAGCCTCTCTACAGCTCCAAATGATTTCCTAGCACTGAGCTTCAGTTAGCTATCCTATAAAATGAGGATTAATCAACACTGGTTTATTAACAACTGTCTTAACATAGTGTAAGGCACATGGTAGGCACGTGGTATGTGACAGTTGTCAGTTTTCTGCATAACGCCTGCCCCATAAGTGCTGGTTTTACTGTTGTCTGCTAAAGGAAGGAGCTGGGAAATCCTCACTACTTAATAGACAGCCATTCCCTCAACTTCCTGCTCCATCTGCACTCTGATTGGGGCAGGGGTCCTCCCTTCTCTGCATAGCTCAAGGGTAAATCCTGATTTGTCTACGCCAACTGTAGTGGGCTCATGTGAGTGGTAGGGCAGGCCTGGGGCACAGTTTCACCCAGTGACACCTAAGGGACCATCTGCTGGGCGGAAGGTTGAACGGGGTGTTATCACATTTGCAGGAGATGCATGGTACTGTTGCAGCAAGAAGCTACCTGGTACAGCTTTTTCCAGAAAAGTATGAGGGAACAAACTGCTCCATGGAGGTGATGTCAAATATGGAGTTAACCCACCCCAGAAGCCCCCACCCCATAGCCTGGGATCCTTTTAAATAAGACAAAAAAAATGTTTACTGCTTAGGTTGTTCCTTAGTCACCAGGACATATTCTCATGGGCAGACTTTTCTAGAACAGCATTGTTCAAAATGTAATTGTTTTTATTTCATTTTTTTTGAGACAGGGTCCCTCTAAGAGCCCAGGCTGTCCTCAAACTCCTGAGCACTGGGATTACAAACATGTGCCACCAACCCCAGCTTAAAAAAATTTTTTTTGGGGGGTGGTAAAATATACATAACATGAAAACCATCTTTAACTATTTTTACGCATACAATTTAGTGGCATTAACTCTATTCACAGTGTTGTGCAGTCATCACCAAGTGTAATTTTTGAATCACATCATTACATCAGCTGGGGAGCTGTAGTAAGTTCTTATTTTTGTGACCTGGGCATGCATTGTGACTATAAGCAGGACTCGCTCATGCCAGGAGCAGACCTCAGTTCTCTACCTCCTCTGCATCCATCCAGATATCTACCATATACTGCCTCTTCCTAGTGACCATTTCCCTAGGAGGCAAGAAGATACAGCCTATTGGCTCCCCACACTGGCCTCCACGCCCTGTATGGACTGTACAGATATGCCAAAGTGGCACCTCTTAGTCACCTTGAGACCTCTTGGAACTTATGCCAGCTTGCTCTAAACCCAACTAGAACTCCCCTTGGGAAACCTGCTTGGGTATTGCCCTGGACCCCAATAAAAGCAATGGCCCCCAGATTCCTCTGTGTCTGTCTGTGTTTCTGCCTCTCTCCCCACTCCCTGTGTCTCTGTCTCTCAACCAGCCAGTGGGTGGGGAGGATGTCAGGATGGCTCCACCCTTCCCACTGACCCTCTGCCATGCTACCCACTTCTCTCTGGGGTCTTTCACTAACAAATGGAGTTTGTTGCATTGCACCTCTGCATCGTACCTGATTTGCACAGCCAAATCTGTCTCCCTACCCAGGGAATGATTCTCATAGGCAGTGGCTCTCTCACTCAAAGAAAACTGGATGCAGGTGAGATGAGGGTCACAGGGATCGGCCAGGATAAACGAGTTCCCCGGGACAGGGATACCTGGTTATGAATTGGACGCTTTGGCATTAGACAGACCAAGCAGTGTCCTGTGAAAGCAACATGATGACCGTCCACATCACACTGCCTATGTGTGCACAAGGACTGGGTGGCACCTCTCCTTCCTCCCTCCTCTGTGCTGTTTAAATGACCAAAATACTATTTTCATCCAGTAACTGAAAAGATGTTCAAATATTTGGCTGCCATGTGCCACACTGTTTCCAAGGATGGCAGCAAGCGGGTCTGTTGGCTGGTGTTGCCTTAACGTTAATCAGGGAGAGGTGGCAGACGGTCCCTGTGGGCCAGTGACGCGGGTTGGCATGGTGGCTCTTAACACTCAGAGGAGTTGGCTCAACAAAGCACACTTGGCATATTTAATCCTGCTGGCAGCCTGGCAGTGGGAGAGGTGATATCACTGGAATCAAATACCCTGCAATTGCCAGTCCTGGGTAGAAATAACTCAAGAGATCGATTAATAATAACTGCATCATGCACCATGGGCTGCTTGCCAGTGTGCCCATAGCCAGATTCACAATAATTCATGCAACCTCACACAGCTCCTAGACATGTACCACTGTGACCCTCCTCACAGAGAAGGGACGTGTGGTAGACTGACTAATAGCTCCCAAAGGTATCAGGTCCAGATCCCTGAGAACTCTAAGTATTACCTTATTTGGAAAAGAGGTCTTTGCAGTTGTGGTTAAGGGTCTTGGGATAGGGAGATGATCCTGGATTATCTGAGTGGGCCTTAAATGCCATCTGCTATAGTTTGGATCTAGAAAGTCCATGTATTAAAGGTTTGGTCCCCAGACTGTGGCATTATTGAGAGGTGCTGGACTCTCTAAGGGATGGAGCCTAATGGGAGATCTCCAGGTACTTGAAAGGGATATATGGGACCCTGATTCCTCTTCTCTCTCTTTCACTTCCTGGCCTTTTGCTCTGCCTTGTCCCCCTTCCCTGATGTGCCACACAGGCCCAAAGCAATGAGGCCAACTAATCATGGAATAAAACCTGTAAAACTATAAGCCAAAAAGAGCATTTACTCTTTAGGTGTCAGGGGACCAAAGCATGAAAGAGTCTTCCATTCTTTTGTGTGTGTGTTTGTGTGTGTGTGTGATGGGATTTGAACTCAGGATGTCATGCTTAGTAGGCAGGTGCTCTACCACTTAAGCCACACTTCCAGAAACCTTTTCTCTTTATATGTTGATTATCTCAGGTATTTGATACAGTGATGTAAAGCTAACTATCACACCATCACAAGTGTTCTTATAAGACAGAGGAGAAGGAGACTTCACACACACACACTCACACAGGAACAGAGATTGGAGTAATGCAGCCACAAACCAATACCTGGAACCACCAGAAGCTGGAAGAGGCAAGCATTCTCCTCGAAAGGCTTCTGAGACAGAGGAAATCCGAGTGATACCAATTTTAGGCTTATGGCCTCCATACTGGGAGATAATATATTTTAGTTGTTTTAAAACACTTAGTGGGTGGTCATTTGTTACAGCAGCCATATGAAACATATAGGAAGTGACTTGTCCAAGGCCATACAATTTAGTCGTAAATGTTTGGACATTAAATATAGTAAGTGTGCAATAAACATTGGCTACTATTATTATTGTTATTATTATTATTACTATGTTGTATATGGAGAGGCTCCGTTTCTAGGATGAAATTTCAAAAACCCTATGAAATTGGCCTGCTTTATCCATCCAATAGATGCTGTTGGGGAGAGACAGGAGCTGATGATTCATTTGGGGAAGATGCTATTAACACTGGGTGGAGCTGTTTTGGAACTTTGCACTGAGTCAATTCCAACCCTTGGAATTAGCTCCACTGGCTCAGCAGGTCCAGCCAATCAATTTGAGAGAGAGTTTGCAACTCATAGAGAAGTGTGGTGGCCCAACAATCCAAAAAGATGAACGGACTCCTCTGTGTCTGGTAATATTTTCCCAAACGAGTATTTCCTGAGTGTATGAATGTCTGCTTCAGTAAACAGAAGGAAGGAACTGATGGCCCCAGCTAAAGCCAGCTCACCAAAGATTTATGTGGCTCTTTCCCTTTTCCCTCCTTCTCCTTCCTTTTCCTCCTTTCTATTCCTGAACAACTCTACCCAAAAGCCAATACCTGGTGGTTCCAGGTATTCTTGCCTTGTGGCTGCATTACTCCAATCTCTGTTCCTCTGTGTGTGTGTGTGTGTGTGTGTGTGTGTGTGTGTGTGTGTGTGAAGTCTCCTTCACCTCTCTCTGATAAGAACACTTGTCATGGTATGATAGTTAGCTTTACACTTGCGGGTCTCAGCAAGTGAGCATCAGCAATGACAGAGGGGAGAGGGTACACACTGCTCCAAAGACAGGTGTCTCAGAGACAAAATGAAAGAAGACAGGTGGTCTTTGTAGCCTGGGGTGGCCCAGCACAGGTAACTGGAGCCTGTGTGGCCTGGCATGAGTGTCAGAGCTTCAATGGGGTATAAAAGGCATCCTTACTGAGGTAGTGGGGTGACAGCAACAACAGGAAACTGTTACATATGGGGATTGGTCAAATGAGCAAACATGACATTCAAGAGAATCCAGGTTTCTCACTGTCAGACCTATGGAAAGGGAAAAAACTAGAATTAACCCTGTAGAATTAGATTGGAATTGAATCATGGAAGGAAAAGCCATGATTTTCAATAGGTAGATGACCATAAAAACATATATAGATACATAAATATAAATGCATGTATATAAAACTGTCAGCTGAAAGGATCCAGGATATCCCAATAAGCACACCCAAAAGCAAACAACAACCTTTCTTCGGAAGAACATCCCTGTTTGAAGGAAATATACATTAAAGTATTTAGGGTGGTATTATTAGTAACTTATGCTAATGTGGCTCAGAAAAAATGTTATTTGGGTCCTACTTGTGACTCTTCTATAAGCTTGAGATCACAGCTAAAGAAAAAGGAGAAAGAAGTCAGTCTTGGTGGTTCATGCCTATAGTCCCAGCACTTGGGAGGAGGATCACAAGATTCAGGTCAGGGGCTGGCAGAATGGCTCAAGTGGTAGAGCACCTGCCTAACAGGTGTGAGATCCTGAGTTCAAACCCCAGTGCTGCCAGAA